AAATGCCAGACGTAACTATGGGATTATCTGTTTCGGTCAAAAATATATTTATAATAATAATTTAAGGATGTGTCCACGTTCATAAGACTCATTTGAATAACATTGGCACTTTGCAAAAAGATGTGAAATTCGAACAAAAACAGTTTCACTGTAAAAAACCGCGCCAAGTTCACGTTTATAAGACTTCGAAAAAAATTAATCGTTTTTTACAAAAAAATATGAAATCAAAACAACTCCAAGTACTGTTTATAACTTTATTAAAAATATGAAAAAAAGTTAGTAGCAAGTTTAAAACTTAATGGAAATCTTTTTAAACGTACGTGGCGTACGTCATTGAGTAGCCCAAATTTTTTCGTGAGCGATATTTAATTTCATGTGCACAAACATGTAGAAAACGTTAATATCTTAAGTTCTAAAAATTTGGGGTACTCAATGACGTACGCCAAGTATGTTAAAAAAGATTTTCATTAAGTTTTAAACTTGCTACTAACTTTTTTTCATATTTTTAATGAAGTTATAACCAGTACTTGGAGTTTTTTTGATTTCATATTTTTTTGTAAAAAACCATTAATTTTTTTCGAAGTCTTATAAACGTGAACTTGGCGCGGTTTTTTACAGTGAAACTGTTTTTGTTCGGATTTCACATCTTTTTGCAGAGTGCCAATGTTATTCAAATGAGTCTTATGAACATGGACACATCCTTAAATTATTATTATAAATATTTTTTTTATGAAATATAATAATTTCAATCCTGTATAGAAAAATCTAGCCTTTAATGACCGAAACAGATAATCTCATATCTACGTCTGGCATTCTAAAATTTGGCGCCTAAAGTTTACTTATCCAGTTACTACAGCGTATGTAAAATTTCTCGCGTCGCACTCTAGTGTGTAAAAATAGAAACTGTTAAAACTCAATTTTAGACTGGAGTTTCCGGTCTACCTATAAAATTACTGCACATAAGCATTTTTTATAGTCTATGGATGTCAGATTTTGCACCGAAAAAAGTTCCAAAACTAAAAATTTACGTTGCTATAGTTTGTGCTGCTTAAATTTGTTAATTAAAAATAGAATTCATTAAAAAGTATGTAAAAAGTAAATGATTAACAGTTTATTAAGATGTAATCTATTATTAAAAAACATAACTTTTAATATAATTATAATAATAAATATATAAAATTTTCTAACCCTAAAATCAGGCTCTGCTTACGGTATAGTACTCGGTAGGCTGGCGTTTGAACGGACTTGGCGCCAGACTTCTACCGAGTTTGTAGATATGTGTTTGTGAACTTTATAATTCAACTATTATGGACTTCCGGTTCAAACGTGAGCGAGTGCGGATGGTGAATGGGTAAAGACCCAAGTTTTAAGTGAATTTTGAAAGGTTGTAGTTAAGGTGTGAAGGTTGGCAGGGGTTAGAAAGAAGGGTTGAAAAGGGAGTTTAAGGGACAGATATAAGGAAGCAGAGGAGATCGGATAGAAGTGTGAATTTAAGAACGAGGAAATATCAGAAAGAAAAGTGAGGTTAAACGGAGTGGTTGGACAGGTGAGGTAGGGAGTGAGGAGGGCGTCCCTGTTCAAAAACTCCCATAGGATCCCATCAAAAGCGACAAAAGCCACTTAGAAACCAATACTTTTTATTGGTTTCTAAGTGGCTTTTGTCGCTTTTGATGGGATCCTATGAGAGTTTTTAAACAGGGGTATTAAATACGTGAGTCAAATGGACAGGAAGTCGGTAAAGGAGAGTGGGGAGGTGTCAGGTTGGATCGGAAAGTCACAGAGGGAGACACAGGCTGAGTTTAAGGAGGTATGGGCAAGAGTGGAGTCAATGGAGACTGACGCTGAGAAAGATGGTGCTGGAAGGGGGGAAGTGAAAAGGGAGGGGAAGCGAAGGGGGGAGCAGAGAAGAAGAGCTTAGAGAAAGAGAATGTAGAGGAAAAAACAGAAGAGAAGGAGAATGAGAGGAAAAAGGATACAGAAGGAAATGAGGAAGTAGAGGAGGAAGAAGTGAGTGAGGCATCGAAAGGAAGAGGGAGGAGAACAACGGCTGAGGCGTGGAAATTACATAGGGCAAACAGCACAGGAGACCTAGGAGATATTAGAGACTGGGTTAAAGGAGATGGAAAGAGAAGGGGAGGTGGCTTGAGTGATTTGAGGGAAAATAAAGTGAGACTCATAGCTAAGACAGGAGATAAGAAAAGAGAAGGAATGGAGGCGATGCGATGATAAGTCAGGGATTCAGCAGAATAATGGAAAGGTTAGACGAAGAGAAAGAGGACCGAAAAAAGCAATTTGAGGAATTGGAGAAGGAGTTCAATAAGATAGAGAAGAAGAATACGGAGTTGGAAAGAAAGTTGGAGAAAATATACGCAGAGCAAAAGGCAGGGTATTCGGCCAGTAATGTTAAATGGAAGGAAATAGAGAAAAAGATTGAGGAGAGTGAAAAAAAGATGGAGAAAAAAGTGGAAAAGGTGAGAGAAGAATGAGAGGGGATGGTTGAGAAGTTGACGGCTGAAGGGAATAAAGAAATTGGCTCGGTATCAGTGGGTGCAAGGAGGAGAGTGGAAGAGGATAGGATCACAGAGATTGAAGAGTGGAAAGAAAGCAAAGAAAAGATGGAAAGGAAAAACAATATTGTGATTTTTGGGTGGAATGGTAAAGATAGGATAGAGAAGAAGGAGATAGCTGATTTTTTCCAAGAAGAGATAGGATTGGAGAATATGGAAGAAAGTATTGAAGAGATAAGGCAGACAGGGACAAACAGAAAAATGGTATGGGTCAAGATGAAAAAGTTAGAGGATAAAAAGAAGATAATGGAGAGAAAAGCAATGTTAAAAGGTAAAAAAGTATTTATCGAGAATAACAGAACAAAAAAGGAGAGAGAAGAACAGAAGGAATTAAAGAAAAGAGTGTGGATAGCAAGAAACCAAGGAGCGAAAAATGTAAAAGTGGGGTTTGGAAGACTGTGGGTGGAAGGAGTGATGTACAGGTGGGACGGAGTGAGAAAAGTGCTGGTGGAAATAGAAGAAAGCGACGAGGAGGGGGGAAGATAATGTCGTATGAGACAGACGGGGAAAAGGGGAGATTTAAGATGATCTTTTGGAATGTGGCCGGGATAAAGAACAAAGATAAAGAGTTTTAGGAATTTCTGAAAGAGTTTGAGGTGATTGGTTTATGTGAAACGTGGGTAGAAGAGAAGGGATGGGAAGTAACAAAGAACAGATTGCCGTCAGAGTGGAGTTGGGACTACATCCCTGCAGAAAGAGTCGAGAGAAGAGAAAGTGCCAGAGGTGGAATTATCTTAGGGGTTAGGAAAGAGATAGCAGGTCAGCTCGTAGAGAAGAGGAAAGGGATGATAAAAAGAGAGGTTAGGGTGGGAAAGAAAATGTGGGACGTTTACTCCATCTACAATGACAGGGAGGGTAGGGAAATGTTGGAAGAGTTAGATGAGTTAGATGAGTGGGTGAAAGAGGGAGAGGAAGAAAGAGAAATTATAATAGGAGGAGACTGGAACGCAAGAATTGGTGAAATGGCCAGCGTCGAAGAGTTGAACGGGGGGGAAAAAAGATGGTCGGAAGATCCAATAGTGAACAGCGAGGGAAGGATGTTGATGGATCTGATCGATCGGAGGGGGTGAATAGTGCTGAACGGGAATGAAGGGGATATGGAAGGGGGAAGGTGGACATTCACAAGGGGGGAAAGTAAATCAGTAGTTGACTATGGGATAGTAAATGCGAGAGCATGGGATGAAATAAGGAGGATGGAAATAGGATATAGATTGGATTCAGACCACCAACCGATAATCATAGAACTGCAAGGATGGAGAGGAAGGCTGAGTAACAGCGGGAGAGGAAAACAGGAAGTATGGAGATGGATGCAATGTTGGAGAGAGAATGACGTGAGAGCGTTCGAGAAGAAGGAAGAAGAACTAAGATGGGAAGCATCAGGAGGGGAAGAGAAATGGAAAGAATTAAGAAGAGGAATTGATTTGTGTTGTGTTAAAAGGAGGGTCAGAAAGGGAGAAAATGTGGATAAAGGGTGGTTTGACGAGCAATGCAGAAGACTAAAAAAGAAGCTGAGAAGGGCAGGCCGAAAGAAAAGATATGGTTACTCTACGTAAACTGAGAGCAAGGTACCGAGATCTGAAGAAAAGGAAGAAAAAGAGGTGGGAAGAGAAAGTGGAGAAGGAACTAGGGAAGATTAAGTATGAAAATCAGGCGTGGGAGTTTACAAGGAAAGACTGGAAGAAAAGGGATAATATAACGGATGCGTTTGGAATTGAGGAATGGAAGGAGCATTTTATGGAAGAATTGGGGAAAAGGGAATACAAACCGGGGGGTCTATTGTAGAGGAGTATCAGATAGGAACGGATATAAGAGAAGAAGAACCAACGGACGGGGAAATTGACCTGCAAATATCAAAGCCAAAGAGAAGGAAGGCAGAAGTAGGAGACGGAATAAAAAATGAAGCTTGGATATTTGGAAGGGGAAAAATTAGGACACGGTTGAGAGAGGTAATTAAAGAGGTGTGGAGAGGAGAATATTTTGTAGAAAATTGGAGGGAAGGGATAATAGCGCCGATTTATAAGAAAGGGGGAAAGGAAAATATGAAGAACTACAGGGGAGTAATATTAACCAGCACGGCTTACAAGCTGTATGCGTCGATCTTGAATAAAAGGATAATGAAATTAGTGGAGGAAAAAGGAGGGTGGGAAGATAATCAGGCAGGATTCAGGAAGAAGAGAGGATGTATGGACAACGTGTACATTCTGAGAAAGAGGATAGAAAAGATTATAAAGGAAAAAGGCGGGAAAGCATATGTTTTGTTCCTAGACCTGAAGGGAGCATTTGACAATTTAGACAGGAGTATTCTGCTGAAAGCAATGGAAAGGATGGGGATAGAAAACGGGTTGATTAAGAGGGTGAGAAACATATATGAGGAAACGAGATGTAGAGTGACAGTGGGAGGGGAACTGTCGGAATCTTTCTGGACGGGAAAAGGAGTAAGACAAGGATGTCCCCTCAGCCCTACGTTGTTTAATATATATGTAGCAGACCTGGAGGAGTTTTGTAGAAGAAGACAGGTAGGTGGGATAGTGGTGGGAGGAAGGAAAATTTGGTCGTTGTCTTACGCAGATGACACACCATTGGTGGCGGACAATGAAAAAGAAAAAAGAAATGAAGGAGTTGATGAGGGCATGTGAAAGGTATTTCAAGGAAAGGAAATTGGAGGTGAACGTGGAGAAAACAAAAATGATGAGGTTTACTAAGGGAGGAGGAAGAGGAAGACAAAAGAAAAAAGATTGGAAGTGGGGAGGGAAAGAGGTGGAGGAAGTAAAGGAGTTCTGCTATCTGGGTTTCACGTTTGTCAGGAATAACAGGGTCAAGGAACATGTCAAAATCAGGGTAAGGAAAGCAAAGCAAGCCATGGGAAGAGTATGGGGAATGGGGGAAAGAAGATTTGGAGGAAAGTGGAAATTTAGAAAATTACTCTTTGAGAGTATAGTGGCTAGCATAGCGATGTACGGGGCAGAAATTTGGGAATGGATGACGGAGAGGAAGGAACTGGAAAGTCTGCAGAAGCAGTATGGTAGATGGGTAATGGGTCTCAGTAGAGCAGTGCCAGGTTATATAGTGAGGGAGGAGCTGGAATTGGATGTTGAGAGTGAGGGCCGGGGCAAGAGCGTTTAAATTTGACGAGAAAGTGAGAACGGAAGTAGGAAGAGAACTGTTGAAGAGATGTGTTAGAGAACAAGGATAATTGCGCAAGCGGTGTTGCCAAGTCAAATATAAGACTTTTCATGATTTTTCATGAAAAATATAAAATATCTACGTAATACGTTCGGAAACCTACTTTTTTATGGTTTTAATCGAAAGCTTATCATTTTTTCAATAAAATTCAATGAAAATATAATTTTTTTTAACATCGTTAAGGAAGTACGAGCACCGAGACAACTTTTGATAAAAGGCGTGATTTTTGAAGTTATACTTCTTTTGGCGCGTTTGGATGAGAGTGAAATTTGTGAGCTGCACGCGCATGATGTCCCAAAAAAGCGACATGATGAAGTTGGCCACAAATATAATTAAAAATATAGAATTCTTTTACTGACTAAGTTAACTCATATACAAGCTAGTCGCAAAGTATCCAACGAAATGTTGTTATTTTTAAATTCGATAGAAATGCCATTTAATATGAAATATATTATTCATATTTATAATCAATTCTAAAAAATGGTCAATTAAATATTTTATTTGATTGTTTAGTTTTAATTCAACTTGGTAATAATTTCTTTTTAATTTATATTTTTTTCTAAAATAATAATAATTTCATGAAATAAAATATTTAAACTAAAATATAAATATTTTAGTATTTATTATATTTAGGTATCTTTTTATTGAGTTCATAATTTTTTAAAAGCATATTTCAAGCAACTTATGGAATTTTTTTTATCGAAAGATAAATATATTAATAATTCACCACAAAAAATTCAGGTTAATTTACCGCATCATTTTTGAGTAATTAATTTTCAAAATTGCATCTTTTACATGTAGAGGTATAGAGAAATACTAACTTTACCATTTCTCTATACCTCTACGTGTAAATAATGCAATTTCGAATATTAATTACTTAAAAACGGTGCGGTGAATTGATCTGAAATTTTGATGGTGAATTATTTTATTTATTTATTCATGATAAATGCCAAGGCACAGGCCGAATGGCAAGGTATTTAAATTACATTTGCAATGTGTATGAATATAAGTATACATTAGATTATTTACAAAGTTACTTAAAATTATATAAAATACAAAATATAGATAGATAAAAGGCTACATTAAAATATTCAGTCGAATAATTATTTATAATATTCGGATATAAGTTTTGGTTTATAGTTATGAATATTGAAATATTGAGATTTTTTGAATTATTTGGTATACTAAAATTTAGATTTATTAATATGATTTAGATAATAGAATTTGGTTAATAAAATTTAAACATTGAGATTTAAACAAGGCCAATTATAATAAGAATACGCTTTAAAAGCCCTGGTGTGACGCGTTTTGGTCCTCAGACAATTCATCCCCGACAACTCATCCTTTTGACAATTCATACTCTGACAATTCATCCCAGCGACAAATTAGACTATTGATTATTGGGCCCAAGATGAATTATTCGCGCCACGATGTTATAATTTGTTTATTATTTGTAATATTAGTAATGACTTTCTTCATAAATATATATTTCTCTTCATAAATTTATACACACAAAAAACCATGTTAAAAGAGCGCAACTCGATTATCCGCGTTTGTGTTGGGCTATTACTGAATAAACACACACAAAAACTATGTTAAAAGGGCGCAACTCGATTATCCGCGTTTGTGATGGTCTAATTTCGAATAAATACACACAAAAAACCATGTTGAAAGGGCGCAATTCGATTATCCGCGTTTGTGTTGGGCTATTACTGAGTAAACACAAACAAAAACCATGTTAAAAGGGCGCAACTCGATTATCCGCGTTTGTGATGGTCTAATTTCGAATAAGTACACATAAAAAACCATGTTAAAAGGGCGCAACTCGATTATCCGCGTTTGTGATGGTCTAACTTCGAATAAATACACACAAAAAATCATGTTAAAAGGGCGCAACTCGATTATCCGCGTTTGTGTTGGTCTAGTATGTTCGTCTAAATATATATATTTTTAGATTTAATTGTGGTAAATACTTGTTCATTATTTATCTTATAAACTAAAACCGTATTTAATGTATGAAGTATGAATTGTCGGGTATGTATTGTTATTGTATGAATTGTCGCGGGGATTAATTGTCGTGAGGATAATTTGTCGGGGATGAATTGTCGGGGATGAATTTTCTGAGGCCCAAAAATCAGCAAACCTACCCTTCCGAGTTCCACATTTTTAACAAATATAAATAATGCTGTGAAGCGGGAAAGAATAGGAGTTACGGTAATTATTACGTGAAGCATTCCAACATTCACGTAACAGGATAATTGGTAGGAAAGGATTGAGAAAGGATTGTGGAGAGGATCATCTTAATGTGAGTTTATAGAATATGTGAGAAAAAAATTATTAGATAGCTCGGACTGGGATTCGAATCCAGAACCTTCCGAAGACATGTCGGCTACTCTACCATTTGAGCTACCCGGTCTATACTAAATTTCCTTTCACTTATTCTATATACATTAAGCCACACCGTCCATTATTTTTAACGAAATTATTAATTTTTAGTTAATTTTAATTCATTTCAATTTGTTGGAATCAATTTTAATGAATTTTTAATTAATTTACAAACATGTATGGAATTCACTCACATTCCATGCTCACATTCCATGCTTGTAAAGGTGGACCCTAGGATCTCCGCCGTCCATCTTATGGCATAAAATAAATATTATTATTTTTAACGAAATTATTAATTTTAGTTAATTTTAATTCATTTCAATTTGTTGGAATCAATTTTAATGAATTTTTAATTAATTTACAAACATGTATGGAATTCACTCACATTCCATGCTCACATTCCATGCTTGTAAAGGTGGACCCTAGGATCTCCGCCGTCCATCTTATGGCATAAAATAAATATTATTATTTTTAACGAAATTATTAATTTTAGTTAATTTTAATTCATTTCAATTCGTTGGAATCAAATTTAATGAATTTTAATTAATTTACAAACATGTATGGAATTCACTCACATTCCATGCTTGTAAAGGTGGACCCTAGGATCTCCGCCGTGTCGGATGACACGCAAAATCGTGAAGCGTTCCACATTTTTTAACAAATATAAATAATGCAACATTTACGTAACAGGATATTTTGGTAGGAAAGGATTGAGAAAGGATTGTGGAGGGGATCATCTTAATGTGAGTTTATAGAATATGTGAGAAAAAAATTATTAGATAGCTCGAACTGGGATTCGAACCCAGAACCTTCCGAAGACATGTCGGCTATTCTACCATTAGATAGCTAAGAAAAAATTTTTGAATATGTTCAGTGTATGTACATTAATTTCGATTAATAAATTTGTAAATTATCAATAAACGGTATATTTTGTTATTCAATAAATAAAAGTATTTTGATTATCATTAAAAACCTACCGTAGGATAAATTTAATTAACTTTTCTAGGCATGGACAGGCATGAACAGGCCTGATCAGACATGAACAGACATGAGCGTATTTAACCCTTCAGACATGAACAGGCATGGACAGGCCTGATCAGCCATGATCAGACCTGACCGTATTTAACGCTTCAGACATGAACAGGCCTAATCAGGCATGATCAGACCTGAGCGTATTTAACGCTTCAGACATGAACAGGTCTGATCAGATCTGAGCGTATTTAACCCTTCAGACATGAACTGGCATGAACAGGTATGGACAGGCCTGATCAGGCCTGATCAGACCTGAGCGTATTAACCCTTACCGGCCACACGGGGTAACTAGTTACCCCAGGCTTAAAAAAAGTGGAATTAGAGGTCTTAAAACTTTTAAATAAATACAATAAACGGCATATGCCGTGAATCTGAGTTATGAATTTTTTTGCAAAAAAGCCATTTTTCCAAAATTTTGACTTATGTGACCAGTTGTTAGAACGCCATTTATTAATTAAACAAGTTTTAAACCATTAGAAATATTGAAGAACTTGTCAACGAACATGACACAATTAATTAAAAGTCTCAAAACATGTACACATCCATTACCGGCCACACGGGGTGACTAGTTACCCCAGGCTTAAAAAAAGTGGAATTAGAGGTCTTAAAACTTTTAAATAAATACAATAAACGGCATATGCCGTGAATCTGAGTTATGAATTTTTTTGCAAAAAAGCCATTTTTCCAAAATTTTGACTTATGTGACCAGTTGTTAGAACGCCATTTATTAATTAAACAAGTTTTAAACCATTAGAAATATTGAAGAACTTGTCAACGAACATGACACAATTAATTAAAAGTCTCAAAACATGTACACATCTTGTCCAACCGGGTTTTTCAGCGTGGGGTAATTTACCCCATGTGGCCGTTATGTGACCTGGGTGAGGTGTGGCCGGTAAGGGTTAAACCCTTCAGACATGAACAGGCCTGATCAGCCATGATCAGACCTGAGCGTATTTAACGCTTCAGACATAAACAGGGATGAACAGGTCTGATCAGACATGAACAGGCCTGATCAGACCTGAGCGTATTTAACCCGTCAGACATGAACAGGTCTGATTGAAAACAACTTTTAGGCGTGCGAAAAAATCATAATGAAACCATGTATACATTTTTTGTGCTTAAAAAACTTCGTCGAATAATTTTTCAAAATGAAAATCGAACGTAATCGAGGCATTCAAAAGTTATAGTTTAAAAATTCACAAAATTTTTTTTTTTGGTATTTTTCTAAAATATCATCAAGATTTCTCAACCAGTCAATATAAACCTGTACGTTTTTTTTTGTGCTCTAAAAACTGCGTCGAATGCTTTCTTAAAAATAAAAATCGAACGACGAATTCAAAAGTTATATAGTTGTTTAATAAATATATTTTGAGCTCGAGGAGCTCAAAATGTTAAAAACTGTACATCGAGCTTGAAAAGCTATAATATTAACCAAAAAACACTTTTTAAGGTGCTTCAAATGTAAACTTAGCAGGAAGTTCTAGGGTTAGCCTGCGTGATCAACCGATTTCCAGATTTTTTTAATTATGTAAAAATAGTTTTTTTATCTAAACTTATATAAAACTGTATTTAACTAAATAATACGTTATAATAAAACTTTTAATGTATTAAAGACCTTTTTTTCTATTATTAGTGTCGTTTTTTCTACAAACGTATAGGATAACGCGAAAGATAAAATTTTTAGAAAGATTTTTATCTTGTTACGCCAAAGAAATTCTTAAGTATAACTTCTTACGTGCGTACATAAGTACACATACTTTTTTTTATTTGTTATTTGTTGTGATTAATATCATTTTTAAAAATTTTATGATATTAGAACAATAATTTGACAATTATTGAGCGAGTCATTTTGTTAATAATAACCTTGACGGTTCCTGTAGCTGTTTGTCGCGTATAGAATAGTCATCCCACATTTAGAATCCCATGTCGTATCCCACATTTAGAAAATTTTACAGCAGACGGTAAGAACAGTTCATTTTTAACATTGATTAAATGGAATTCAACAGAAGAAAATATTTATTTAAAAATAGTTATTAAACTATTGAACCTATAAATTTTTATTGTGACTTGCATAATATTGTTATGATTCTATTTTTCAAAAAAGTCAATATGTCAAATTTTGTGGGATACGACGTATTAGAATGGCAGTATCGTCATACCAGTGAACTGAATAACGGGCCCCGAAACCCAAGTCAATGGCAAGCAAGTAAATCTATTCAACGGATCATATTATATATCTTGGTACTTTCTTACTATAATGGCTGCCATAATTTATGCACAGTTGATTGTATTGTATTGGCTATGGATCGCTCCATAAGTTCGAACATGCTTATACTATTAATTCGGTTATAGCAGTGACAGTTTTACTACTAAATTTAGCACATATAAAATCCAGTTATTTTCGAATTATATACGTGAAGTGAAATAAACAGAATATCAAATGTAAATGCTCATGGTAAATGCTTTGATCGTTTATTTAAGTTTTGGTGGCATTGTGTGAAAATTCAACAGTTTTGTATTCATGTACATAAATTCAATAACATAAAGTTAAATAAAACTGCATAGATAAATATTTAGACACATAAATCTTTTATTATAAAAATTTCATTTATATTATTATTTTACCTTCATGGATGTAATTATTTTTCGGCTGATAATCTCTTATTACATCAAACAGTGAAATAAACAAAAAACATACTTATACTTAATTTAGCTAAATAAAATAACTTTTTTATTTTACCGACAAATTTTCATAACTAAATATTGATAAATAAATTACTTTCGAAAATAAAGGATCGATATTTTTTGACAGTATCAGTGATAAAATATAGTCGTTAGTTGAACTGATTTGTAGTAAATAGCACAACTTTCTTATAGAAAGTGTAAAAGTGAGTAACTTTTAAAATACCAAAGTTTTTAATTGTTTCATTAAATGAAAAATATGTTATTGTGAACGAATAATTAATAAGTGGGACAAGTGTGAGTTTTGATTTTTGGTTTAAAAATTTTTATGGACTTTTAAATTACATGAAATAAAGTAAATTTCCAATACTTGAGAATTGGATTAATAAAAAGTGTATCCTAAAACAATTATGAGCATTGAAAACAAAAATGACTGTAGAGGTTTCAAAAGCATCTTGGTACTCCAAAATATACAGTTATCTAAAAAATCGAAATCGTATCGAACCTGCAAAATCAAAATTACCAGATTGTGATTTTTTTACTGTAGGGCCTCGGCGCACACTTCGAATATTGAAACCAACACAAAAAGCTAGTGAATCTGATGATTTATCTATATATAACTCAGAATCTATAAATGAAAAGTTTATTTCGAAGTGGATAGAAAGACCTCATTCATCTAATAGCTGTAGATGCTCGTTTTATAAATTTTACACTCGGAATAATGTTAATAAGCAAAGTTCTCCTAAATTAAATCAAACTAAAACTCGTTTGAAACAGTATGATGATGATGAAGAAAATAATAGTAAATTTAAAATTAATGTTTCCAAAGATTTAAATCAGTTCGATAGAACAGGGACATCAAAAGCAAATAATAAAATTATTGAAGAAATTGAACTTAGGAATTACTTTAAAGATCGCTTAAATATTGAAGCTCTAAGTATTAAAAATAAAATTATTAGAGATTTAGAAAGATCTATTGATCTAATTTTGGGAAATGTTCTTAATCATACAATTAACATTGTAAGTACTTGTGATAAAACAATAGATAACATAAACTATTTTAGCAATAACAATGAATCTACTAGTTCAAAACGAGATGAACCGATGATCAATGATGCACCCACAAATATTCCTTTAGACATAAAATTTGACTTTTCTAGTGATGATTATAGCAGTAGTAGATATTGTGTTGCAAGTATTGACAAATCTGACTTTGGTGGTTATATAAATCAAGCATTTGCTCCATGTATAAGTGATCCCGATAAGTTAGACTTTTATTTAAGAGAACCAATTAATGAAAAAGATTTCGATATGATAGATTGCCTAGATTCTGGTATTAATAGCGTTGAAACAATGGAAGTTTCAATAGAATCAGATTTCAATGTAGAAAACTCTTTTACGCAGATGATCGAAGATAAGTTTAATCACATGATAGAATCTTCGAACTTAAATGATGAAAATACTACAGATAGTACTACACAGCTTCAGACAAATACAGATCCAAACAAATTCTTAGTTTACAAAAAAAAATCGTAATTAACAATTTTTTTAAGGAAATGAAAAAATTAAAAAAAAAAAATTCTCTAGGCGATAGGATATCTTTACGATTCATGAAATCTGGAATCGTTTGATACCAATATTGTAAAAACAAATTTTTTTTGGTAATTAATAATTTGTTTAAACAAATGAAAAAAATTTTTGAAAAAAAAGTTCTCCACACGATAGGATATCAATACGATTCATAAAATTTGGAATCGTTTGATACCTATATTGTAAATAGATATTTTTAATTAATTATAAACAATTTGTTTAGACAAATGATAACAATCTTCGAAAAAAAAGTTCTCCAGGCGAGAGAATATCTTTACGGTTCATAAAATTTAGAATCGTTTGATACCTATATTGTAAGAACACATTTTTAATTGTTAATTAACAATTTTTTTAAACAAATGAAAAAAATAAAAAAAAAAAGTTCTCTAGGCGATAGGATATCTTTACGATTCATGAAATCCTGAATCGTTTGATACCTATATCGTGGAATCGATTTTTAAAAAGTTAATTAAGACTTAGAAAAAAAAAAGAAAAAATTACAAAAAAGAAATTACTCCGAATATCTGAGCGACCACTTGTTATTGTTATTATTTTCCTCACATTATTATTATTATTCCCCCATTTCGCTCCGACAACAGCTTGAGGGGAATGGCGCACGCGCACTCTCTCGGATCAGGACATCGAATTCCCGCAGAGCTCATATATTTTTAAACTTGTTAACAGTATATTTGTATTAAAAAAAATTTTTTTTTTATTTTTTTTTTGTATCGATTCTTTGTTGACCAAAAAACATTTTTATGCAAAAAAAAAAATTTTTTTCTAATATGAACTATTTTTTAATGCATAAATTAAAAAAACTGAAAATTATTCATATGAATTCAAAAAAAATTTTTTGAGCTCAGATGCTCGGAGTGATTTATTTGTTTATTCATCTTTTTTATAAATTTTTCTAAATCTTAATTAACTTTAAAAAAATCGATTGCACAATATAGGTATCAAACGATTCAAAATTTCTTGAATCGTATAGATATCCTACCGTGTAGAAAACTTTTTTTATAAAAAATCAATTTATTTGTTTCAAAAAATTGTTAATAAACAAAAAAAAATTTGTCTTCACAATATAGGTATCAATCGATTCCAAATTTTATGAATCGTAAAGATATCCTATTATGTAGAGTACTTTATTTTTTAAAAAATATTTTTATTTTTTTTATAAAAATCGTCGAAACAAATTTTTTTTTGTTAATTAACAATCTTTACAAACAAATAGAAAAATTTTTTATGAAAACAGTTCATTACACGATAGGATATTTTTACGATTCATAAAATTCTGAATCTTTTGATACCCAAATTATGGAAATGATTTTTTTTTTGTTAACAAATTATTTATTAAAACTAATAGAAAAAATATAAAAAAAAAAAAGTTCTCTACACGATAAGATATTTTTACGATTCATAAAATTCAGAATCTTTTCATACCCATATCATTGAAACAATTTTTTTTTGTTAACTAATTATTTATTAAAACAAATAGAAAAAATTTTTCGAATTTTCCGTTTGCATTGGAAGTCGTTAGCAAGCTGTCTAATATTTCCCTGCCGACCAGACTATTTACAAAAGAGTATAAGCAGTGACATCTTTCTATGGGGATCGATAAATAATGATGAAAATGAATTTAAAAAAAGTTAAGAATAGTTATGTGGAGCCATCTATTTCAATAATTAAAACCAAAGACTGGCTGTGTTTTTTTTATCATAATGATTCTATTGATAATTTTACCATTTTTATTTTCGTCCACTACTTTTGAGATATTACTCAACAAAAATGTGCAATATTTTGAGTTTAATTTGTATTACGCAACTGAAACTATCCGATCAATAATTTTTTTTTTTTTTAGCAAAAAATGTTATGTAGCAGAAATACATGAAAAAATGGTGTAGAACTCTATGAGTCAAGGTTATGCAGTTTTTTACAATATTCATATAATTTTTTCTATTTTTTTTTATTAAAATTTTTTACTTATTAGGTGTTAAATGACATTCTGAACCCTTCAAGAGATACAAAAAATTTTTTTTTAAGTTTAAGTGCCAAAATTCGCTGGACAAAAATTTGATTGCGCGGTCGATAACAAAATAGCTTCTTAAATAAAATAAAATTTCCAACTGTTTTGAAATTCAAAATTTTCAAATGTTTTCGCGGCTCAAAGTATGTATTGTAAATAAATAATTTGCTTTAAAAATAAAATAAAATTGTGAAAATAAACAATGAATTTCCATATCTATTTTACTCCTACAATTGTATAGTGAGAAAATATCCTTTTTATTAGAGAAACTTTGAAATTGCTACAATATTTTTCAATATTATTTAACACAATAATAACTGAGCTGGAATAAATAATTTAAGATTAAGTACAAACGTGAATAAAAATTATGAAAAAAAAATTTTTTCACTCTAGTGAAAGAACAATTTTCATTTACAAAAAAAAATTTTATTAGAAAAAAAATACATAATAATTACTTTATATTTTTGAAGTGATTGCTTCATTATTAAGAAAATAAACTTTTTTATATTATTATGTGCGTCATTCCCGTAATTGTTGGAAAGATTCCTATAAATTTCTCTCCGTGTAGGTAATTCAGTGTCGTTTATTTGTAATTAATACAAAAAACAAAAACAAAAATACGTATGAATCAAAAAATATCTTTTTGATAGAAAATATAATTCTTTCAAGATTTGAGCTCAATAGACAGGGGAAGGAAAAAGTAATAAATAAGGAAATCTTCTAGTTCTCGGAGTAGATAGAAAATGATAGTCAATTATTTATAATTAATTGAATCAGTTTAATTCCGAAAAATAATTCAATTGGTTTAGAAATTTTCTTTTCTTTAAAAATAAAACTTACTGTACCCGACAAATTTAAAGTAGAAACTTTTATCTGTCATTTAAAACGAAATTTTACAAGCATGATGGAGTCGTCTTCAAATTTAAATTTCAAAACCTACTTGATTTTAATTCCAGGAGTAGCGCACTACCTCAACGCTACACTCAAAAGGTGTGCACACTTAAAAGTCAAAAATAATAATCAAATTAATTTTTTAATAAAATTTTTTTTTTCAAAATAAAAAATTTTGATGATGCAAGGACTACAGAAAAATGTTGGAATTTACTTTTGACACTCCATTTTGCTCCTTCTTTCACTATTATAGTGGCCCCTATTATAACAATTGATCTAGTATGAATGTTTTAGAATCATTTTTTTCAACAAGAAATTTTTTCACGGAATATCGATTATCCATCTTATTAAAATATTTAATACACACTTAGTCAAAAAAGAAATGCTGAAGTTGAAACGTCAAAGTGAAAACCAAAGAAGAAAAAATAAAGTCAATAATATGAGACAACGAAGAAATGAAGATAGAAGTATGATTAATACCAGCAGCAGTGAAAGTGGAAGTGAAAATAATGAAAAAAGTGATAATATGAGAATTTCTTCAAAATTAAGACAGCGGAAATACCTTTCAATCACGAAAAATTCAATGAAGCACAAAAATAGAATGAAGAACTACCATGCTTCCTCAAATTTTAAAGAAAAACATAAAATTTATGAAAAGATTCGTTTATCTGACTTTGATGAGCACGAAAAACACTTGGTGAAAGTGAAAATTTCTCAAAAACAAAAATTAAAAAATCCAGAACAGAGAAGAATACATCAAAAAAGGTTAATAAAAGCTCAAGAACAACGACTACAAGATCCACAAAAGAGAAAAACACATCAGAATAGGTTAAAAAAAGCTCAAGAACAAAGATTAAAGGATTCACAAAAGAGAAAAATACATCAGAATAGGTTAAAAAAAGCTCAAGAACGAAGATTACAAGATGTAAATAAAAGAAAAATACACAGATTGAGACTAAAATTGGCACAATCAACTTTGACACATCTAGAAGAACGATTTATTTGCCCACGAATTCCATTTATGATGATAAGAGCTGTAATTAATGGCGGACAATATCTAGTAAAAGGTCGAGCTGTTAATGTACCAACAAATGTTGAGACTTCTGTAAGTATTCTTCCTAGAGTTCAATCAGAAGCCATGGTTATTCCGATATGCTTTCGAAGAAAAAAATTATTCGAATCTATCGTTATGTTTGAAAACGTTCGACCCAAAGCAATAGAAAAAGCTCCGAATATATTAAAAAATTCAGAAGTTTACAAACATTGTAAAATAAAGTTGGATTTTTCTAGAATTAAAAATATTCAAAAATTTCAATTTAATAATGAAATCAAAAAAGGTAGCATTACTAATCAGAATAGCAACAAAAATAGTAACAGCAATCATAATAATATTAATCGAAACAATGATGATGATAATGATGATGATGATAATGAAGATGATGATGATGATAATGATGAAAACAGTAGTTCTGATGAAGACGAACCTGCTAATGATGAAGATGAGTCTACATTATTAATGACTCAAGCTATCATTTTCGCACCAGGAGAAGGTGAAAAACCAGTATCATTATTTGATAAATTCACAGAAGCATTAAGTTTTATCAAAATATATGGTGGAAAGTTAATTCAAAAACCTAAAAATATATCATATCAAAATTGGATTAAATCAGAGATCATGAGATCAGATCGAAAATGTGCCAGTATTACCAAATTGTTCTTTTCTGCTTTGAAATTAAGGATGTCAAAACTTAATTCGAGTATAAATTTTTGTCTTAAAAAAAATAAAATAAAATCTAATTTGACAGTTAAAGATATGTTAGATACTACGAAAGTAAAACACATGGAAATAAATGATAATTTATTTAAATTACTTGCTCATGATGGTGGCACACCATCATTTTGGAAAGAAAAGAAAAGAAATGTGTTTGCGATGATTCGACAATGTGGTCAACCAACAATATTTTTAACATTGTCTGCAGCTGAAAGCCGATAGCCTGAATTGATAGTTATTTAAAAAAAAATCATCGATAACGAAAAAATAAGTTCGGATGAAGCATCTAATTTAGATTATAAAGAAAAAGTTCGATTAATTAATTCTGACCCAGTAACAGTTGCTAGATACTTCGATCATCGAATGAGACAATTATTTAAGTTAATGAAAGAAAAAAATAGTATTTTTAGAGATCATAATATTATACATTTTTATATTAGAGTGGAATTTCAACAAAGAGGTTCTCCCCATGTTCATAGTTTACTTTGGCTTGAAAATTCACCAAAGTATAATAGTGAAAACTCAGATAATTCTTCAGTAATCGAGTTTATTAATAAGTTCATTTCATGTTCAAAAAATATTCCAGAAGACTTATTAAAATTACAAACTCATAAACATACATTCACATGCAAAAAAGGATTCAGTAAAAAAAAAAATGGTGTGTGTACTTATGTACACGCGTTAGAAGTTAAACTTCTTTGGCACATAATAAAAAATATTTTAAAGAAAAAAAAGTTTGGAAAATCCAAAAGTGCACGACTCATAATGCTCATTTAATTATCAAATATTGAAAAAAAAAAAAAAACATAAGTCGTTGAAAATTAGTTGCCAAAAAAACAGCTGTACTAGGAAGGTACTGCACAAGTGCCTCTGGTGGAATAAATGTACATAATATCTATAGATATATATATATCACCATCCATGTTAATTTTACAAGGATATATATAGATATACAGTCTTGTAGTTTTCGTTTTTGAAAAAAATTTAACTCAAATAATGGAATTTTTCACAAGTTATTACAGTGTTTCCGGGGTTTCACACATAACGGACGGGAAAATTTTTTGACCTATTTTTGTGTTTTTTTCCAATTCTATTGCAGTAAATCAATTTTTAAAAAGTATGGAATTAATCTCCATTAAATTATCTCGACAATAGTATGCAAAATATCTTGATTCCTTGAACTAACAAGGCTATAATAATAAAAATAGCTGCCAAAATGAGGCGAAATAAATTTTTCGATCGTAAAGCACTCTCTGATGCTTCGCATCATGAGTCGTGCAAAATGCAAAAATGATGGAAGAAAAATGTTAAAAAAATTCAAATAGGTTTTATTATAGTAAAAATTTAGCTATACCGTATAAATATAAAATCATTAATTATCATATGAATTTAATTCAATATTATTTAAAATTTTTCTAAATCGACTAATTTTGAAGCTTCAATGTATCAGTAGTTTAGAATCGATCGTTATAAAATATTTTAATTATTATGAAAATTAAGTTAGCTGACATATAAAAATTTTTAGAATTTTTTTTATTGAAAAAATAATTACAAAAAAATAAAAAAAAAATTTTCACTTGTAAAAAAACTTCAAAAACTGTAAGTGCAATTTTTAAAAAATATTTTTTTGTTCTAATTTAATTATTAAAAATAAAATCCAAAAACACCAAAATAATATTTTTTTATTCACGCTGTTTAATTGTACTGTTACGAAACACGTGTTTTAAATAAAAAAATACTAGATTATACAACTTGAACATAGTTATCAATTTTCATATGACCTAGAACTAACTTTACGATGTTAAATTTATCTGTCGGTGTGCGCGCGCATCGTAAAAATTCACTCTCATAATTTTTCTCCAACGCGCCAAAAGAAGTATAACTTCAAAAATGTCGTTTTGATATACCATTTTTCCCAGTTAATAATGAGCCTTTTACCTCAAGTACGAAAAATTACTCACTAGCGGCGCTAGTAGTTCGGTAGGGACAAACATTGTCAGAGCTCCATTTAATCACATAATAAAGTGGACTTATAAAAAACATGTTTTTGACCGAAGACGACGTTCCTGGAGTAAAATTAGAATTTGCAACCGTAAAAGACAATAATGTTGTCACATTAAAACGTTGGCTTGCGTGCCGTAACTTAAAAGTTACCGGAAAAAAATGAATTAATTGACAGGTTAGTATACAAACTCTAGTAAAAACTAGCGGTAAATTCAAACTGTAACAAGAGAAATTGAAAATAATTATAAATTTAAGATTTATTTCAGAGTGAAATATGAATGAAATATGAATGGTAATAAATAAACGTTATTATATGTAATAAATGAATACGATTAAATAACAGACAGAGGTTATATGTCATTTTAACATTTTAATTTATATCCAATAACTGCACTAATAGAAGGATTTGTTTCTAGTTAAAAATATTTGTTAATATTTAACAAATCATTTATTAAAGACCACTTTTTAGTCCTTAATGAATATTTCTTAGTATTTAAAAAGATTTATTAATATCCCGGGAAAAACGGATTAGATCTGGCCATAAATAAACAGATCTAGCCAGATCTGGTCAGATCTTTTGATTGTCTCTATCTGACGAGATCTGGCCAGATATAATCAGATCTGACCAGATCTGGTCAAATTTTAAAATTGTCCAGGTAAAAATGATTATATATAATTATATATACTCATACATAATTATATACGAAAAATAGCTATATATAATTATATACAATTATATAGAATTGTTTTCATAAAAAAAAAAAAAATCGGCGCGCAAGGGAACCGAACCTGGGACCTGACGCTTGAGAGACTAATTCATTACCTGTTTACCAACGAGACTTACTTGAAACGAGAGTAGATAGAGATTGTAATAACTATAGTTAATAGCCTTAGCAGATCTGGCCAGATCTGTTTATATATGGCCAGATCTAATCTGTTTTTTCCGGGTACAAGTAATGTGAATCGTGTCCATGATCGATGCGTAATGAACAAAGTTTTTTATCAAATTTATTGCAAATTATTAATTATCAATATACGCTGATGGGAAGATTTATTAACTATTAACAAATTAATTTATTCGAAAACAATTATTTAATTTATTAAATTCTAATAAATATTTTTTAACATTCAATAAATATTTATTTGGGAGGAAAGTATATTTAGTAAAATAGTTTATCAGTATTTATTAATAGTTAACAAATATAGTTATATCTGGCCAGATATAATAAAATCTTTTTATGTCTGATTTTTTTTTCAACCCAGATATAGTTATATCTGTTTAGATCTGATCAGATATGACTAGATCTGATTATGTCTGATGTATTTTTCCACTCAGATATAGTTATATCTCTTTAGATCTGATCAGATATAACTAGATCTAATCAGATATAACTAGATCTGATTATGTCTCCAATCCCATGTCTGATCAGATATAAATAGATCTGACCAGATATAATTAGATCTGACCAGATATAATTATATCTGGTCAGATCTAAACCGTTTTCCCCGCGATTCAATAAATGAATGTCAGATTTATTAAATACAAACAAATCATTTTAAATATTAAGAAATATTTGTTCAATAGTAAAAAGTGGTCTCTAATAAATGATTTGTTAACTATTAACAAATATTTTTTGGTACAAATAAATCCTTCTATAAGTGTGTGAAAAAAATTTGCTATTCATTTAATTCATTTCAAAAATAATTTTGAAAATATGTAATTGATGATTCTAAGTAATTAGTTTATCAATTATTTAGAACTTTATAATTTCGTAATCTTTTATTGGAATGCATTAGGGTCAATGATTGTATAAATAATGGAAGAGAAGGTGTTATTTTTGAAGGTGTTGATAAAGGAGTATGGTTAATTAAGAAACAACAACGCTTACAAGCATCTTCAACGGTCACATCGGCATCTACATCTGGATCGACATTGACAAAAGATTCTTCTATCCCATTGCCCACCCCTTCAACTTTTTTATCCTAATGATAATTGGCAAATTTTTCCATCCAAATCGATTCCCCGTTCATTTTGTTATGGTATTATACATGAGTATATAACACAGTTTACAAGAGAACGATGATGATGATAAAGTAACAGATAATGATTTAATGCGTTTGTGGTAATTCTAAAGCCATCCAAAGAGGCAGATTATATTGTATTAGTGATGATATAAAAAATTTGCAAGATAATAGCTGTAAAAATATTTATTATTTAAGGGCAAAAATCCAGTCATCTTTTAAAGTAACTACGACTTATGATGTGGTAATAGGTCTCAATGAAGATGGATACATCATAAATGCTGTATGTCAATGTCCAGCATCAGAATCTCTGAATTGTTCACATATCGTCGCGTTACTTTTTACACTTGAAGAATATACGCTTCAATATGGATTCGAATCACTGACTTGTACTTCAAAAATAAAAGAATGGAATCAAGGTCGTAAAACTGGAAATAATCCCTCAAGTATCATTACTGCTGAGTATCAAAAATCTAAATCAACGAAAAATTCTAGTGAAAATGATGAAAAAAAAAATCTAATCCAGGTAGTTGTAATAAAAAGAAAGTAATTGAATTCAGCGCGCAATCAAACCTAAGCAGTTCTGTGAGTGCTGATGTAATGACAACTGAATTTATTCAACGCTTACAAAATAAAAATAACAAATCTATGTGGGTTGACTTATTGCAAATAAAATATGACGACTATATTTTAGACTGTAATCAAAAATTAGTGTTAAAGTTAAAAATAGAAAAGCTCCAAAATAATTTAAGCTCATCTACGCTTGGTCCATTTGAGATTGAGTTAGAACAAAATAGTCCGTCATGGCTCAATGCACAAAGATACCGAATCACTGCATCAGATTGTAAATCGTTTTATACAAGCAAAGATTTAACAAATCTAATAAATACAAAATTATGGCTAGAAACACAGGATATTAGTCACTTGCCTGCGATTGCTTACGGTAGAGAAAATGAGTCAACTGCAATTCAAGAATATTTGGCGTCTATTAACAGGACTCAGATTATAAGGCCAGGATTGATCGTCAATACTAAGTTCCCAGGACTTGGTTGTAGCCCAGACGGATTAATTTTTGAAAATAATGAACTTCTCTACTGTATTGAAATAAAGTGTCCTTACACGCTGAAAAATTGCTCACCACTAACTTTAGCTGGAGTAAAAAATCCAAATAATTTGTGCTATACTGTTAAAAATGATCAAATTGCTTTAATAAGGAATCATACTTATTATTATCAAGTTCAACTAACATTGGCTATTTTAGAGTTGCAGTATTGTGAATTTATTGTCTGGACACCCAAGAATGGTTTTGTAGTCGAGAAGATTTCTGGAGATGAAAATTTTATAAAAGCTCTTACCACTAAATTATGTAAAGTCCATAATATTTTAGCTATGGAATTTTTTGAGATAAGACTACCACAAAAGCTACCACTACTTGTGATAAACGTATAAAAATATAAATACTGTAAAAATTTCAGATAATTTTTTTATAAAAGATTTTTAATATAATAGCATGAGATATGTGTATGTTGTTACTATAAATGTTTTATGATTGTTTTTGTTTAAAAATATTTTAAACTTAGTACTAAGGACGCTATACTTACTAAACTTATCTGACAAAAATTAATAAAAAAGTATTATGGTTATTTTAATAAATTTTATTTTAATATTTAAGTAACAAGTGGTTCTTGAAAATTTACTAACATTGCAATAACAAAAACGATTTGGGATACAATAGGTAATAAAGTTTTAGGTATGATTCTTTGCATTATTCTAAATTGTTTCATTCGACCAATGAATCGTTCCACGTGTATTCGAGCCGAAGCTATTTCTCTTGCCCTCCTCACTTCATTTTTGGAAAATTTTTTTCTAGATTTCAGAAACGGTGGCATTAATACAGTGCATTTATACTTATTACATAAATCTTCAATGTTAAACCCACGATCTGCTAATATCAAATCATCTTTTTTCAAATAATCAAAAAAAACCACTTTTCTCAGTGATACTTCGATCAGTTATGCGTCCTTCAAAACCTTCTGAAAGAAAGCAACATCCTCCAGTTGGTATTATTCCAATCAAAAACTTCACTGTATTATCAGATTTGTAGCTGGAGTATGTATTTCCTTGTTGACTAAAATTTTTCGGTTTCTCCATATTCCATTCAAAACAATCAATAATTACTCGTATATTTTTGAATTTTTTAAACGCTTGAGGTAGATTTTTACTGATATCTTTAGCTGATGGGAAACGATTTAGTTGTTTAAATTTACAATACATTAATTGGATCCATGTTGTTGTTATTTTTGAAATATAACTCATACTCACTCCAAACCGACAACTCAAATCGTACAATAAAAAACCACATCTTAATCTCACAAGGGTTAAAAAAAGTTGATTTTTTAACGATAATACTTTAAATTGCTTTATCGTTATGTGGTTATTAGTTCCTGATTGTGAGTGCCAAATCCTCAGTGCTGATTCAGTTGGCGGTCCTAAGAAATTCCACACAATATCAAAATCTTCTGGCATAAGACCTGTATAAAACTTAAACTTCTTACTATCATTTATACATGACTTATTAGGGTGTTTCAAAAAAAGACGAATTTTTTTTTCTTTTGGTGTCTAAAAATTGATAGTATACCTAAAAACGACAATTTTGGCGCCCATGTGAGCTCTGAATATCAATAGTAAGATTTTCCTGTATCCATTTCTTTATTTTCCATTTAAATAACACGGGAATAATTTTTTTTAATTTTTTAATTTTTATTACTTTGGAACGGTTCATCGTAACAACAATTTGAAAAATGATATTTGTAGGAAATTTTACGCTCTACAAAAAACGTCTACAGACCAAAGTTCCTCAGATTAAAGGCTTCAAAGATATCCGCGGTCAAAGATAACACTAATAAAAAATTTCAAATATTTTCCAATAAAACTACAAAAAAAATATCATATGCTATATTTTTATTATTTTTTATGTAAAATTACTTTAAATCCGTTAATCTGAGACTGTAAGCTATTTTTTTACTAATTAATTCAATACTTAACTCACGAAATGCACTAATATAGAAGTATAAACGTTAAAAATATCTTATAAATGATTTTTTGGTCTCTTATAACAAATTTATTTTTTTCTTTACTAAATATTAAGAAATATAATTAAACAATTAATTCTTTATAACGAAAAACTATATTTACAACTTGTTACAACAATTTTTCAACTTGAAAATATAACAGTTTTATAAAATTACTTTTATTGCAAGGCTGGCAATAGCCTAATCGGCTCGGTGCCTACATTTCGAAAGAGTAGGACCCGGGTTCGATTCCGGCACGCACCACTATTTTCAGTGATTATAAAATAAAAAGAATATGTGCGTTACGGTGCAAGCCTCTGTACCGACCGGATTTTCTGTGGTTTTCCCGTGTAGTTATGGAAGTAAAAATGTCATTATAGAATTACTCCATGCCACTTAAGGTCGTAATGCAAATGCAGGTACTGATATTAATGCGTAAGTCGGCCAGAGTCGCAGCATAGTGGATTATAAAGTGGAAAGAATATGTTGAACGCAAAGAAAAAATAAGTGTTAGTTAAAGGGGCGAAAGCCAGGTATAACATTATGAATGTCATATGATAACAAAAGAGGCACTTGAGTGGTATTACTGTGGTAATAGCAAAAATGTGGAGAATATGGATTACAGTCTTGTAAAAACCAAAATAGGTATACAAGTAAAAACGATATAATAATACTTTTATTGCAATTAGGATATTGTTTTCTATGTTCTGTCACTACTTGCAACAAATATTGAAGCTGTTCTTCATCTTTCGTTAAGCATTGATTATACTGCTCTATCAATGCCCGGCCGCGTTCTGCTACATCATTCACAACTTGAAGTTTCCCGAAATGCTCCAAGTTTTCTAAGAAATTCAGATTCTAAGTAACATCCTCATCAATGAAATACGACAAATCAAACGATTCAAATATATTAATCGATCTCATAGACACAAATTGACTAAGATCTTTATTTAATAATGACTCTAAAATTTTCTTATCTATTATAAAGCTATTTGTTGTAGTTTCATTGGCTTTACAGTTTTTAAGAGCATGAACTATTCTTTTTTTTGTTCCAACTGAAACATTTTTATCAAAGAGAGATAAAACAGACAGCTCGTTGTTTAAATACCAAAAGTGATCAGCTAATTTTTGTGCGCAAGTCTGTGGAAGATTATTATTAAATCTTTCATATGAAATTAATTCTTTAATCAAAGTTAAATCATTATTAGGTGCTGTTATAGCACACGGCGCAGTCAACCAAGCTTTTAAATAGAATATTATGATAAATAAACAAAGGTCTCGTAATCCATCTATTTCCGATTTAGTAAGATGAAATTCATTTCTGAATAAAAAAATTTTTAAACTATATATTGCTTTAGCCATCCACCTTGCATGATGGACCGCTCCAGGATGCTTAAATGTAATATTTGTGGTAGTAGTACCCAAAAATATTAATGATAATTCCAGAAGTTCACGGTAATCGTCTCGACAATGATCCATATACAAAAAAGTTAAGTCAAAATGAAATTGATTATATCGCAATTTCAAAGTTGAGAAGACTAATTATTATTAACTGATGTGAGGTAAAAAGTGTAAAATATTTTACAAACGCAATTTTAATCGTTAAAGATAATTGAAAGTATAACAGTCATGTGAAACTGATTTTCAATATTTTTAATCACGACGGCAAGTTAATTAATCAGAGTAAAATTGATAATTATACTGAACTTTATACATTTTTCTCTTCCACTTTAACATCAGTTAATAATTCTTCAGCGCCGGATTAAAAAATTTTACTTCTATTTGATTATTAACAATTTCAAAATCTCATCTTTGATTGGTGTTATTACTTCCAAAACTTTTTTGTCACAAATACCAGCCGTAAAGTTTGATTGGTCAATTTCATCCCACTTTTTTTTAAATCTCTGATAAATTGGAACGTTTGGGCCAGACGAAGCAGGCCAGTATACTTCAAATGCACTTCGAAGAACAATTTCAAAAATATGATGTCGGCATGTCAAGTACAACAGTTTTCTACTAAGAGCCTTTTCTACCAAAACACACGCACCATTTCTGATTCGTGTAAAAATAAAATGAAAATTGCTAGTGAATTTGGGCCAGACGAAATAGGCCAGTATACTTCAAATGCACTTCGAAGAACAATTTCAAAAATATGGTGTCGGCATGGCAAGTACAACAGTTTTCTACTAAGAGCCTTTTCTACTAATACAGACGCACCATTTCTGAGTCCTGAAAAAATAAAATGAGAATTGCTAGTGAAGTATCGATTTTTTAGAGTAGTACGGAGAAATCTTTTCAATTTGAAAAAAAATAACTCATAACTTGAAAATTAATGGTTAATACTAAAAATCTGATTCGATTTAGCATTTAAACATTACGGTAATCAACCATGTTATATTTTTTTTTTTTAATAAGTTATTTACCCGTATTTGACGCCGTAGTATCAGAACACAATGCTTTGATGTTGTCAGTATTAATATCCCATTGTTTTACTGTTTTAATAATAGCTGAAGCTTGGTTTTGTCCAGTCCCAGATTCTAGTTTAGGAACTCCTAACAGTTGAAATTTACCTGATGATGATAAAATTATCGGAAGCCGGTCAACTTGTTCTGTACTTGTAATATCTGATAACAGTTTTCCATCAAAATGTAGTACATAATTGTCAGTTTCCAGATTAGTCTTCAGATTTAACGCCATTTCTTTCCGTAATTTTTCCCTTCCTCGGTGAATAGTCACATGACTAAAGTTTACGCTTGCACAATCAATATTCAAGCTAGATAATAAAGCAGCAATAATGTAAGTCGTCATCCTACTAGTCACGTTAGCTTTATCCAAAGCCGCAGCAAGTTCTGGTGTCATTATATCAATTTTTGGAACTTGCTGTTTTGGCATTTCATCTTCATAATCAGAGATTATACGAGAAGTATTACTTTCCAAAGATTTTTGGGATAATTTAGATGTATGACTTGATATTCCATGATTAGCAACATCATCAGTCTCAACTGCACAATAATAGTTAGCATTGTCATTATCAAACTCTCCGACATTATTATTACTATCATTACCATTATTATTATAGTTGTAATCATTGCTATCAATGTTCTCTTCATTATTATTATCACTATTATTGTTATTATTATCATAATTGCTGATATCAACATCCATGTCTTCGACATCTTCAAAAATTGGTTGAGAATTATATGAAATAAAACCACGTCGACTGGAAGATTTTTGTCCCTAATAAAATAATCTTTTTTCTGTGTTCAGTATATTTAAAACATCCGAATGAGCTACATCAAATAGCTACATTATTTAATTCATCCTGAAAAACGGATTCCTTTTTTTTTGAGACTTTGACTTTTTCATTTTACGGTTTTTTTGTAAATTCTTCCGTCGATTGTGATTTGAGGTTAGTTTCAAAAAAGCAGATCTTTTCTCTCTTGTCGGGATTTGTGCCGCACACCAAATTTTAAAAACTTTGTCGATAGTGATTGATATACTTTCTTTAACTGAAAAATTTTTCGTATCAAGATAATAAAATAAAAGTGACATAACCTCTTTCAGAGAGGGTAATTTTTTTCCAACTAATTCACTTAACACATCACCAATCAAGTACACTGTTTTCACCATTATGGTCACAAAATTTATAACTAATATATTTCAACTAATTAAATTAATAATATAACGGATTGAAAAAACAGTCAGTATCAATGAACAAAGACAATGACGAGAAGATATAGTAAAGCGTTGAGAGCAAAGCAACTAAATGAAGTTAGTACCGAACAACCAGGCTTACCAACACAGAGCTTATTAGCTACGACACTCAAATTAAATGAGTATAATACTCTGTACCGACAGAGCTAAATAAAGCTCTGTTGATATTTTTCAACTAAAAAACATTTGATCAAGTTTTATAGTAGATTTAATTGATTTAACGTATTTACAGAATTTTCATATTATTTCAAATAATATGCAATGATGAGTGTTTGGTGAATTTGTGTAATAAGGAACTTTACATTTTTCTCTTACAAAAATTTATAAATTTTATAAAATATAAAATAAATTTGTTATAAAAGAGACCAAAAACTCATTTATAAGATATTTTTAACGTTTATATTTATATATTAGTGCATTTCGTGAGTTAAGTATTGAATTAATTGGTAAAAAAAAAAGTTTACAGTCTCAGGTTAACGGAATTAAAGTAATTTTACATAAAAAATAATAAAAATATAGCATATGATATTTTTTTTGTAGTTTTATTGGAAAATATTTTAAATTTTTTATTAGTGTTATCTTTGACCGCGGATATCTTTGAAGCCGTTAATCTGAGGAACTTTAGTCTTTAAACGTTTTTTGTAGAGCGTAAAATTTCCTACATATATCATTTTTCAGATTGTTGTTACGATGAACCGTTCCAAAGTAATAAAAATTAATAAATTAAAAAAAATTTTTCCCGTGTTACGTTCTCAGAATTTCGCCCAAAATTATTTTTTTTATTATTTTATAAATATTATATTTTAAATAAATTTATCTCGTTCAATTCTCCGAATGCACATTGAGAGATATCCGTTGCTTCGCTGGTGGCTTGATCAGCAGCTTAGTAACGGAAATCTCGCGATAAGGCATCGGTAAAGAGTCACCGCGGTCGCGGATAGTCCAAACATCTTGCGTCAGCATGGGACCCGGGCCTCGATGACTCTCTCAGGGAGTAACCTCAGCTGCAAACATGGCTGAAATACTATTTATAAAAACTAATCTGGAGTTGATTCAAGTCAGTAGATCTACGGACTTTCTTGAGCACAGAACTCTGTCCGACTTGAACCTCTCCAGATTCTTAATCCAATAAAACTAAAATTACATTAAACACGCTGTTAAATCCTTTGGTGCGAGCGCCTTTCAGCTGTTCCACCAATTCAAATCCTTCCGGTGCAATGGCTCATTAGCCGTTTTCACCGATTAAAAATCCCATGGTGTGAGCGCCTTTCAGCTGTTCCACCAATTCAAATCCTTTCGGTGCAAGGGCTCATTAGCCGTTTCACCGATTAAAATTTCCATGGTGTGAGCGCCTTTCAGCTGTTCCCCAGGTCCAAAAACCTCCTTCGAAGATGAGGGCTCATTAGCCGTCCTATCCGAATTTCCTCCTCGGTCCATGCCAAAGAACGGAAAGGCAGGCGTTCACGTCGTTCGGGTCGGGCTGTACAAAGGGGCCGTTCATTTCAGTTACGGTCGCTTAAACTGTCCATGCCCATAATCTCCGACGAGGAGCCAGAAGTATCGCGAGTGCAGGTAAAGTGTGCTACCGACGTACTTCAGGGCAATTATTCGCCCAGGTCGCCATCTCCGTCGCTGCAGGAACCATCGAGCACTGGACTATTAATTCCTGGAAATCATCCAGCCTTTTTGACGGACGTATCACGTTCTTGGGCACTCAAGGCCATCGACCTTCCGGAATATTTCCAACCACCAGGTGAAACAATTCCGCTTCGAGATCCACGGTACGGCTACTACTCTGAGGAGCACTTTCTCCGCACCGGATTTGACAGCTACCCTCCGTTTGAAGCCAGGGGACTCGCTCAAAAGGGTATTATTTGGGCAAAACTATGGGGTCCGTAATGGTGAGTCTTTAAATTATTAGAGAGGTAAAAGTAAGCTCATCTGTGACGGCACGCCGGGGGTCAATAGATCACCCAACGATGTCAAACCTGAATTTTATTCGTCAGTTCTTAATTATTAAATTTAAAATCACCAATAGAAATTTAGAAGCGAATTAAAATAATTCTCAAAAATTGAGAACGTAACACCCGTGTTATTTAAATGGAAAATAAAGGAATGGATACAGGCAAATCTTACTATTGATATTAAGAGCTCACATGGGCGCAAAAATTTTTGTTTTTAGGTATACTATCAATTTTTAGACACCATAAGAAAAAAAAAAATTCGTTATTTTTTGAAACACCCTAATGACTCATAGTTAAGGGTAGATGCACTTAATTTTTTCGTAAGTGTTTCAATTTCATTTTGTAGATTTTTCACAAAAATACTTTCAACTTCTATACAAGTTTGACTTTCTGCAAGAGCTACATATTTATTGGTGTGCTCTTTTTCACTTGGTGGTGGTTCAGTAAATTTAGGAGTTAAATAGTCGTCTACTGGAATATCTTTTTGTTGGAGTTTGTTTACTGGAGCATCATTTTGTTGACTTTGAATGAAAAAATCAGAGTTAAGATCTTTGCCTCTTTTTGATTTTTGGTCTGGACTGCACAGAGAATCAATTGTTGATGTTGAAAGTCTTTTTTTTCGTGCCTTTGGTACCTGTAAAAATTATAAGATTGTTACTATAAAACGTTTTTCAAACAGACAAGAAAATTATTTTTAATTTATTTATTATTGCAGTAATAAAATTGCCAATTATTTATGATTTTAACTCTGACAGACATTAATTAATTTTCTAGATTAAGAAATCAATAATATTTCATCAACAAATTTATTTTCACTCGAATTGCAAATATTTGTTTTCAGATAAATTTTATTATTACTTACTTTGCTAATCGTTGCAGAAACAGGATCAGGATTTTCTACTGTTGGACCTTTTCCACCGATAAAATGTTTTGAGCACACATATGAATATTTATTTATTTTTTTTACTGTTAAATCCACTCTCCTTGACGCATGTATCCATTTATTACATCTAACCTCGTCGATATGAGGTTTTACAAATGGTATAAAAAACACATTTTCTTCTGGATAGCGATTATCCGACGTACACTTTGCAAAACGACAATGTTTTGTTGGCATAGTGGTTATTAAAAAAATTTTTTTGTGTTTAAATATTATTTTTAAATGATAAAATAATATAGCGTAAATAACACTGTCTTAAATGAAAATATTTTATGTTTGTCCCTACTACGAGACCTGCCTCTCGTGGCTCCTTCGCTGTACTACTCTCAGGAAAAAGGCTCATTCGTTGATTTTATTACCTTTAACAAATATTGATAAAAAAGAAAAGGAAAAATTACAAGAACAACGAAAATCTATTCAGGAACTTCTAGGAAATAATTATGAAAATAAAATTATAATAACTACAGAAGAAATATTAAAAATATTTCAAATAAATTATGATATTTACATCCAAATTATACGTAGTGGCTTAAACCAACCGACTGTGATGATACAAAGAAATCCTGATGAATGTATGGTTAATTTTTATAATCGAGAATTATTAGAATTAAATTCAGCAAATATGGATATACAATTCATAAAAGATATGTATTCATGTGTGAGTTATGTGTTAAATTATTTAAACAAATCTATTTCTGGTCTTTTACGACTAATGTACAATGCAGTAAATGAAATTAAAAAAGGGAATTATACAATGAAAGAACAACTACGAATGCTAGGAAATGAATTTTTAAAAGCAAATGAATTTAGTGCTCAAGAAGCAGTTTATTATATTCTAGCTCTTTCATTATCTACATGTTCTGAAGAAGTTTTATTTGTTAACACTAATCATCCTGATAAAAGAATCAACATAGTCAAATGTAAAAAAGATCTTGAAGCACTACCACCAGAATCTCAAGACATTTATAATAAAAGTAAGATAGATCATTACGTTAATCGACTAAATGAGTTAGAAGAAATTTGTCTTGCAACATTTTTAGCTTGGTATAATTTTACTACGGAAGAAAGTGGAAAAAAAAATAAAATTTATAGTGATGAAGAAGATGAGGATTCAGATAATGACAGTAATGTATTAAAACTTAGTGACAATTCAGGTTATGTTCGCAGAAGAAAAAAATCAAAGATACTTAGATTTATAAATTTTAATGAAGAAAGAGAGAAAGAAGATTTCATAAGAGAAAATGTCATGTTATTTATACCTTGGAGAAACGAATATAAAATAATTGCTTCAGCAAACCAATTGTTTATGCAATATCATAATGTAATTAAAGAACGAAGATCAGAGTTTGTTCATAATGAAGATATTGACAAACTATTAAATGAAGTTATAGCACAAGTAAATGAAGAAAATAATGAAAGTAATGATGAAGAATTTACTCCCAGTAACTTAGAAATATTAAATAATCCTGATTTTGATGGAGATATAGCTATCGATATTGCTAATCTTGAAAAAGAAGATAAGGCATGTAATAAAGAAAATGATCTATGTTATGTATCAGTACCACGATTAATTGATGAAGAACTTTACATCAATTTAGTATGCTCTCTTAATGAAAGACAAAGAAGATTTTTGCTACATGTATTACATTGTTTGAAAATGCATCGTCTACCTTTTTATAATTGCGTCATTGGTGGAGCTGGTGTAGGAAAATCAAGACTATTTGAAGCAATTAACCAAACTCTTATCCGGTTGATGAATTACGAATCAAATCGAAATCTAGATTCTATTAAAATTTTGTTGTGTGCACCAACTTGAAAAGCAGCTTTTGGAATGAAAGGAACACCATTACACGCTGCTTTCGTATTGCCTTTAAATCACTGTTCTGCTAATCTTTGTCCATTAAGTAGTAGTATCCGAAATACATTGTTTTCTAAATTAAAAGATCTAAAATTAATTATTATTGATGAAATCAGTATGGTGGGTTCTAGAATGATTCAACAGGTTGATTGTAGATTAAAACAAATTTTTCAGACATCAAAAGCTTTTGGAGGAATATCGATTCTTGTTTTCGGAGACTTTAATCAATTATCTCCCGTAGGAGATAGATATATATTTCAACATCATATAAAAGATCTTTATGGAGATATTATTGGTAATCCACTATGGAATTTATTCACAAGCTTTCAATTACAAGAAATAATGCGACAAAAAGATGATGCAACATTTGCGAAAGTATTGAATAACTTAGCTAATAATTCACTGTCTCATGAAGAATTAAATCTTTTTCAATCAAGAGTAATAAGTAATGAAGATGATATTCCAGATAATGCAATTAATTTATTTCGTACAAATATGGATGTCAATTCCTATAACTCAAGGATAATAAATAAAGATTCAAAGAAACAAATCGCAAATGCCAGTGATAAAGTTACTGGTAATGTTTCTGATAAAATGAAAGAAAAATTGAGTAATTTATGTCAAACTTCAGACGCAAATGGAGCAAAAGGGTTGCCATATACGTTGTTACTTAGTATTGGTATCAAATATATGTTGACTGTGAATATTGATGTAGAAGATGGTCTCGTAAACGGTGCTGTCGGCATTTTAAAAGGATATGAAAAGGACAGTGAAGAAAGAATTTTTAGATTATGGCTAGATTTCTCAGATGAACAAGTAGGGAAAAAAAGAAGAAAAGAAATTAAGAAAGATAATCAACTTAATTGGACTGTAATCGATAGAATAAGTAAAAATATTCAACCTTTAAAAACTCTTATAAATATCATTCGTAAACAATTTCCTATAATACCTGCAGAAGCAATAACCATTTATAAAAGTCAAGGCGGTACGTATAACAAAATAGTTGTACATTTAATTAATGGGATGAAAAAAAACGAATTGTATGTGGCTTTTAGTCGCTGTACAAAATTAGATGGATTATATTTAGTAGGAAATTTAAAAATTCCTTCAACACAGAATTCAAATGACAAAATACAAATGGAAATTAAACGGATTTTACACAATTCAATACAGCCGTCTTGTTTGTTTATTAATAACGGTGACGAAAATACTATAGTATATCAAAATGTTCAAAGTTTAAATAAAAAATCACACTGGTTAGACATAAATAATTTCATTAAGTTATATAAGCCATGTATTTTCATTGCGGCAGAAACATGGACGAAACCATGTGATAATATAGACATACCTCATTATTCAATTGTACATCGTGTCGATGTATCTAAAAATTGGAATAGACATGCTTACGGATTAATTATATATTGTAGAACATAAAAAATTTGAAGTTATCTTCAGTTACAATGATGAAAACAAAACACAATTATGTTCGTTAGTAACTGGAGTGTATAATGACCATGTAATTTGTACAGGTTATAAATCACCTTCAATACCGTACTCAAAAATTGAAGAAAAAATTTTAGAAATGATAGAAATTGGTTCCGGAATAAATAAAAAAATCATTTTTTTAGGAGATTTCAATGTCGATCTAATTAAAAAAAGTTCACATCAATTATGTGCTACCTTACAATCTAAAGGATTAAAATCAGCTTTAAAAAATAATGAAATTACAACAAATTTAGATACAGCAATTGATATAATTTTTTCAAACTTTCCATTGCATTGCGGTGTATCTGAAACAATTTTTGGATATCATAAGCAACTGATATGTGTTTTTAACAAATCAAAGTCTGTTAATGAAGAAAAAAATAGTCAACATTTAAATCAACTATTGTTAGCAGAAGCGATTGAGGAAGGAAGATAGTTGAAAAGTAGATTAATGGAAATAAAATCAATTCACGAAAATGACAAGAAAATTATAAAAGAATTACATAATTTTATGAAACAAAAAATCTATAATCCTAAATACCTTAAATAAATTGATCCTCAAAATTACACCAATTAAAACGACCAAAAATGGTAATTCCTTTTATTCTGCTATATCTCTTATAGTATTCGGGGCTACTCGCATTAATTCGCAAATAATTAAAAAAAAAAAACTTCTTAATTTATTAACAATAAATTCAAATATTTGTTTTAAAATTTACAGAATAAAATAATTTAACGCAAAAAAAAACAAAAATATAATAATAATATTCGTCGACGCTGTCGTCGATTCGCAGTTCGCAATTTCAAATTTGCCGCAAAAAAAAACTCAACTCAGTTAAATACATCTCATTTAACTAAATAAACCAATTAGATCGTCGCTCAATTCAGTCAATACCAATTAATTAACCAAATTTAATAAATACAAAAAAATTAATCTTCGCTTAATTTAATTATTAATAATTAATTAAATAATAATACAACAAAATTAACGTTCGCTCAATAACAATTAATCAAAATAATTAAACATTAAATCGTCGCTAAAAATTGTTTAATCATAAATCGTCGCTCAATTCAGTTAATTTTTGTAAATTAAAACAGTGATACCTTAGCAGGTTTTGTGACCTCCTGACTAAGATATCCTATTTCGCGCCAGGATGTTTTAGACGCCACCAGGAGAGTTGCTTGATATTGAGTTCACTAGGCCTCCTGGAACCGAGTTACTTCGGCTAGCTCGCACTCAGGGAGCAGGTCTCCAAAATAAATATTCGGTCACAGAATAGATGTAATAAAATAACTATAGCTACGTGAGAGGAAGAGGCTCGGTTAGAAATTATGGTCACGACGCAGTACGATTTAATTAATTAAGTTAATTAGTTGATTTATAACAATTTGACTTTGAATGACTCTAATTTAATTAAATAACACAATGAAAAATAAACCCCGAGAATTTACAAAGATGTTAAGCGTCTTACGTCGCGGTTACTAGATTTTAGCTCCGCTTCAGTGGGAAGGTCCTCCATGGAAACAATTACCCCGATGGTCAATGGTCTGGTCTCCACAAAATGGAAAACTAAATGCACCTTTAAGCTTTGAACTTTACTACTTGCTCGCAGACCAAGAACTCCACTCACGATGGTCTGACTGGAGGTAATAGTCCCAAGCTCCCCACTCCGGAGACCCCGACTGCCAGCCTAACTGAAAAGCAGAGGAACAGACAACTAGCGCTCCTTCCGTGCTGCCATCTACAATTGAGTAGCAGCGCGAAATTCAATTTGAATTTTGCCCTTTTACAAAATTAAAAGAAAATTAGTTACTAATAAACCGTCGCTCAATTCAGTTAATTTCAGTTAATTAACAAAAATTATTTACTAGTCAATCGTCGCTCGGTTCAATTAATTACAATTAATTGTTTAAAAAAAAATTAATCTTCGCGAACAAAACAAAAAAAATTATAAACTTTGTCTGATTTAATTAATGATAATTAATTAACTAATTCACTCTGGTAATCTATGCGTCAAAATGTAATTAATAATAGTTAATTTATAACTTTAACTTTTTAAATTTTCGCCGAATTTAATTTAATAATAATAATAAAAAAGAATTTATTTGCCGCAGTTAAGTAATAATTAAATTATATAATAAATTATTACATTCGCCGGTTTTGATTAATTATAAAATTAATTAAAGATTAATCCAATTAAATCAATTTGATATTTTTTAATCCGCCGGATTTAAATATTCAATCAAATAATGATACTCAGTCTTATTCAATTATTTAGCGTCAACAAAAAAAAATAATCACTCATTATCTCATTACTGAGTCTCACACAGCCAATAATCGGCACGAACCCGAAGCTCGATCAATGGGTAATCGAACTCGTCGATTACCCCGGGGGTAACGTCGAAATTGAATAACAATGATACTAAAAATTATATCAATACTAGTTTCATACAATCGTACTAAAACAACACAATGACGGTACCGAAATACCTCGTGGGATTATTGTATTATTGGTTGACTCAAAGCAACCTTGAAATTCCTTGGCGATGTGTCACACCAAGCACGACAAATTTAATTACGAATAATTAAAAAAAAAAAAATTACTTTATCAAAATAAATCCCACGAGCTATTTATTTAAGAAAACCGTGGCACTCACCCTGGTCGAAGACGTAAATCTACGTTGTCCGTCGATTGGCCGCACCAGGTCGTACTCGGCTTCCACGTCGACTAGTTTGGACAATAAACTCCTTGGTGAGGACACTTGCTGACCTTTTGTCAATTCTACACGTCGATTAAAAAAAAAAAAAAAAAAAAAAAAACTACACAAGTGCCCGGGCACCCCGACATACGCAAACACTTACACGTAAAATCATTCAACACACAACACACTACACATACAACATGGTCTTCTGTCGACTCCGCCTCCCCGTGGTCCCCGCTAGATACTGCTCATATTCTGTGGGTATATTTCGATGTGCCCACAGGGAATGGGTTGCCAGAGGAGTCGATGAGAGTTGCACACATTAACAATAACACTTAACTCTTAATGCTGCCCAATGAATGTGTGCAAACACAAGAGAGTAGCGGTTTTTCCTTGTCAGTGATCTTGGCTGTGTTTTGGTTATGGTGAAGGTAGGACAAATATACGTGCGTGTATAGCTCTTTTGAGCCCAGGAAATGGCCTCTTCGGGAGTAAGCGAAAGCCTCACCATATATTCTTCTGTACACGTCGATTGGTGGTCCGAGCACTCAGAGGGAAACGGGTTATAATATCAATGAACGCGAACGCGAAATCAGAGAGATGGGGATCCGAGACTGACGACGCGCGTGGCGAAAAACTTTTCGCCACGCGCGTCGTCAGTCTCAGTTAGAGCAGTTTATTGACGCACATGAGTTAGAGATAGTCAACAACGCGAGGGAGGGTCCGACATTCGAATCAACAAACGGGAGTTCGTACATCGATGTGACACTCGTCACGCCTAAAATCGCGAGTAGCATTCTTAGCTGGTCCATTACGAGGAGCTGGGTGCAGAATACTGACCACTACCCGATCGAGATCACTCTAGGGGCTAATTCGGGGGAGGAGGATGGCGTACAGGCGGACCCCAAAAGGTTTAACTTAACGTTGGCCAATTGGGAAAAGTTTGACGAAATCCTCTTCTCGTGTGCATGCACAAACCTTGAAGGCCTTGGATTGGAATCGATTGAGGACGTGGAAAGGTATGCCTCTGCACTTGGCCAATCAATTTTAGAAGCTTGCGAAGCCGCGATACCACGTAGAAAAACCCATGTAAAATCATACCCATGGTGGACCAGAAAACTGACCAGATTTACCTGGTCAAATAGCAAAAACAACACTGATAAACGAAATTTTACACGATGGGACGTTGGCAGAATTAGGAGACATAATAATAATTTCAGCTATATTGCGACGTCCTATTAATATATATATCAACAATGAATTATCAAGTATGAGAATTACACTCAAAAAAAGCAATGAAGAACTTTATGTATACTTAGATTTTGACGAAACACACTACACAGCTTTGATAAAAAATGATAATAAGAATACATTACCATCGATTGGAACAATGGAGCTTAACTTAGAAAATTTAAATTTGTTAACATAAAAAATTTGATTATACAATATAATTTCATTTACATATTTTTATTAATTCTATGTAATTAGTAGATTTAGAGTTATTATTATAATCATAAAATTGTGGTAATTAATAAAAATTAAATGTAAAAAAAATAATTGGTTTAAAAAAATATAAAGAAAAAAAATGGAAATTATTGTTAAGCAAATAACTTTCAGTGATTGATTTAATAAAATTACGTTTTGATTAAATTTTATCTAGAAAATAATTAACGGAAATATGTGAACAACGAAAATATAAGGATTGAAAACCACATTACAACAAAATTATGTAATAATCACGATATTGAAAATTAGAAAAATTTATAAAAAGATTTACCTTGTGAAAATCATAAATCGAGAAAGTTTTCAACCTTCATTTTTGATAAATAAAAATAAGAATAATGAGAAAATTGATTAAGAAAAAATTTTTGAATGATAATTAAAAACAGTTAAGAAAGAAATAAATTTAATTGAATATAAGAAAATGATAAATAAAAAATGAAAATTACTAATTCGAAAATCATAGAGAAAAATAAATTGTAAAAGCGATAACGATGCCATGAAAAGAATAATTGAAAAACAAAATTATAGTGTTAAAAAAATAAGATTTTATGATACTTTCGTTTTGTTTTTATTCTTGTATTTACAGGAAAATCTCCAGATATTAAAGAATAATTAAAGTAAATTCTTAAGAATATTGCAATGCTGAATCGAAAAAAAATATTACATCATCATTGGTTATCATCGTAAAGTTGGATAGATTGTAGTAAGAGATAACAGAATACAATATTAAAAAAAATGATAAATAAATTTGATCAATACAGATTGTTTAAATCAAATAATTAATTTTTTTCAGTTCCATTAAAGTGCGATTCTTACTAATTACAAACTATTGCAGATAAACTACAACGGAAATGTTCGATTGTATATGTTACTTATGATAATTATTATAATAAAAATCGTCTATGGCTTTGATTGTAGGTACGATAATTATAATTAGAGATTATAAATAATTTTTTGAATTAAAAAAATATATTTACATGTGAAGTTATTTTTTGATTTTGTTACTATAAAAATTGAATTTTTAATAGTCATATTTCGGATGCCCGATTTCAAAACACAGTAACTGGCAATTTTAAGAGTTTTTTCAATTTTTCTTATTAAAATAAGAAATTGATGAAACTGATAAAAAATTTGATTTATGAATAGAAAATACTCGAATATAAATATATTTAAGAAAAAATACTTGAAATTCAGATTTAAAAGTTATAAACTACACGGTAAGATTAGAACCGGGTGATGCACCAGAATCCGTACAAAGTAACCCGCACAGGACTGAGTCTGGTGCAGAACACGAACCAGTCAGGTTCTAATCGTTCCGTGTGCCGAATTACTTTTCTCGTAGACTTGAGGAATAATAATAATTTATAATATTGTTATCAAAATCATGTATTGCAAGAAATCTACCTTCCATCTTGGCAAGTGCCAAATGGCTTTATTTTATAAGGAAGAGATCTAGACCAAACACGGGCCGATTAGTCAACTGGTTAAAAAGTTATAAACCAAAAACTACGACGACTTTGGAATTAACGAGTTTTGTTAGAAGAAAGAAGGCTCAAATTTTGTGTACCTCGTGTAACTCTATTCTTGCGTATCTCAAGACGCCTTGTTAGTCCTATATCGATGTGTTTCTGCATAAAAAAGAGATCTAGACCAAAAACGAGACGATTGTTCAACAGGTTCAATAGTTATGAGCAAAAAACCACGACGACTTGGGAATTATCGAGTTTTTTTAGTCAAAAAAATGGCTAAAATTTTGTGTACCTCATGTTATTCTATTCTTGCGTATTTCTGGACCACTTAATGGATTTATATCGATGTGTTTTTTAATAAGAAAGAGATCTAGACCAAAAATGGGGCTGTTGGTCGACTGGTTCAAGTTATGAGCCAAAAACCATGACGGCTTTCGAATTGAGAAGTTTTTCAGTCGAAAAAAGGCTCAAATTTATCGTACCACTTGTAACTCTATTCTTAAGTATTTCAGGACAGCCTTGTGATCTTATATCGATGCGTTTTTTCATGAGAAAGAAGTATAGACAAAAAACGTGCTTATTGGTAAAACAGTTCAAATGTTATGAGCCAAAAATAAACGACGACTTTGGAAATGACGAGTTTTTTAGTCAAAGAATGGCTCAAATTTTTCGTACCTCTTGTAACTATAATCTTGCGTATTCCAGAACGGCCTTTTCGTCCTATATCGATGTGATTTTTCATAAGGAAGAGTTCTAGACCAAAAACGGGCTGATTGAACAACTGGTTCAAAAGTTATGAGCCAAAAACCACGTCGACTTGAGAATTGACGAGTTTTTTAGTCGAAAAAAGGCTCAAGATTCGTGTACCTCTAGTAACCCCTTGCAACCTTAAGTTCACTCTGGAAACACTCTGGGACCAACGTCAGAGTGAAAACATACCGGGTCCAGGGTGATTCCAGAGTGGTTTTGTGCGATTTTTTCAGAGCTTATGCAGAGTATTTCTAGAGTACACCCAAAGTGTTTTCAGAATAAGACCGGAGTGAATTCAAAATGGGTCCAGAGTGAAACTAAAGTGGTTGCAATTAAAAATCAGAAAGTTTCCTGAGTAAATCCATGGTTTTTTCAGAATGGGCTCAAAGTGTTTCTAGACGAAAACCAAAAAAAATCTGTAGTGAATCCGGAATGAAACCAGAATGTTTAGAGTGCAAATTCAAAGTGTTTTCAGATTTAGGCCAGAGTGAATTCAGAAGTGGGCGCAGAATATTTTCGGATTGAATACTAAGTGTTTCCACTGATCATCTATTATGATTTTTCAATACATTATGGCATAGTGTATTAAAAATAATTAAAACTTAACTGCTATTAGATTCTATTAAACAGAAGATTGAAAATTTTTTATTTGTATAAAAGTTACTTAATTAAGTAACTATTTTAAAAACAAAATGTACTCTCAAGTAATAAAACATTTTTATTGTTTCTCCAAATCATGTGTATAGATAAAAATATTAATACGAATAATTTTTTTGCAGCTACCTAGACATTCTTTGAAAAATATCTAAAAAACAATTAAAAAATTGCTGGAACTTTGATGAGGGAATGGGTTAGTTGAATACTACTCATTAAGCCGAATGGTGATTAATAATTAAAAAATGTTATTAATTTATCGTTAAGACAATTGTAAACTTTGAAAAATTGAGAAAATTGATTGCCAAAAATCCAGTTTTGATCAGCTATTATCATTTAGTGATACAAAGATTTTTTCTAACAGTAAATTTCTATTAATTTTCTGGACGTTAAGTTCACATCTTACTTTCAGCTATAGAAAGTTTTTTGACCAATTTGACTTTTGTCTTTCTAATAACTTTCATCAACAATAAAATCACCTACAAAAAATTTGTCAAATTCTCAGAAGTGAAAAAAATTTTGTATAGTAAGTTATTAAAAATAAATGAAATCGTTGGCTTCAATTCACGTTTTTTTTTTAATATTATTTCTTTTACTTATGAAATAATTTAAAATTACTAAAAATATTTGAACCTATGTGGATGTTACATTTTATTAGTGGTTTTTGACGAAATTAATTTTTTGTCAGCATTAAAATCGTCGAAATTATGAATTCGTAATTTCTATAGCAATCTATTGTATTATTAAATAATTTAAAGAAAATAACTATATTCAAATTTGGTCTGGTCAAGGACAGGATGATTTCTACTGATAAATAATTTATGAACTATCTTAAATAACTATCTGACTGTTTCACTTATGTATCAAAAAATTTCCTAAACTTTTTTATTTCTCGTAAAATATGAAGAAAAATTGTTAATACCATCCACTACTTGAAAAAGTGTTTAGATTAATTTATGCTTTCTTTTATAGATTGGTTGTTTTAACACATTATCATTCTTTAGTACACAAATACATTGTTCAATATTGCAAAAACTAATAAAGCTACTTAATTGTATATTAATACAATATCTTTCGTTTTTGAAACATTGTTTAAAAAGTGTCTTTTTTTTTTAAACTTCCCGCTAAGAAAATTGAAAATTTTCAAAAATCGGGAAGCATACAAAAACTATTTCTTTGAGCTCGGAGAGCTCAAAATATTACACAAATTGTATTCTTGAATTCGAAGAGCTAAAAAACGTCACAAGTCCAATTTCAATTGTTTAGGTATGGAATTGGCGGAAAGTTACAGAGATGGCCTTTAGGGCCAACAGTTTTCCTAATTTTTTTTTTATTTTTTTACCTCTTCATTCTTCGATTTTGTACACGGTTTGAACTAAAAAAATGAGTTGAATGTTGCAATATGAAGATTGAGCTTAAGAACATTACATTTACGTAGCAATTATAATTTGAACTTTAACATCGATCAGAAAAATTTGTCGAAATTTATATTCAGATTTCAAAAATATCATAATTCGTATATTTTAAACTTGACGAGCTCACAATATTATAAATATCTCAGAATAAGACAGCCAATGTAAAAATAGATTTATGGACCACATGAAATCTACATTAGCAAAAAGTATTGAGAAGGAAATAAATAAAACTATTTAGATTTTTTTTTTAACTTTTGCTACATTTAAAAATTATTTTATTAAAAATATTAAGTAATTAAACATAATTTATTAAATTTACAAATGGCATTATTCACCAATGAACTTTAATTTCTGTATTTTTTCGAAATACCTTTTTAATATATATATATTATTTATAAGGCATATGCCAGAGCATGTTATTAATAGTCATTTTAAGTAAAGCATCATACAACTTATTACATATTTTATTTACATATCATTATTTTAATGTTTTTTCATACAGAAAAACATGAATTTTTATCTAAAGTTGCTATAAAAATAAGTATAACAATCAACGTTGATAAAATTATATCATTAGCTAGTATTTCATCTACAATGTTAATATACGAGTATAAATTAGCAGTAAAGTGCAGTAAAACGTAGCAGTAAAGTGTGAAATAATTGTCAACATTGCGCTTGTGGTCTGGTCAACCTGATTATTATAATTATTGTTTTTAATACCTACTTAAGCGAAGTTAGATGGAATGTTACAAGCAAATCACTGAAAAACTGATTGAAAATATTAATTGCAATTTATTTGAAGTATTTTGGTAAATTATTTTAATCACACTGATAGAAGGATTTGTTTGTAGTTAAAAAGATTTGTTAATATTTAACAAATCATTTATTAGAAGCCATTTGATGGTCCTTAACAAATATTTCTTAGTATTTAAAAAGATTTAGTAATATTTAATCAATGAATATCAGATTTATTAAATACAAACAAATCATTTTAAATACTAAGAAATATTTGTTAAGGACCATCAAATGGCTTCTAATAAATGATTTGTTAAATATTAACAAATCTTTTTAACTACAAACAAATCCTTCTATCAGTGTGATTAAAATAATTTACCAAAATACTTCAAATAAATTGCAATTAATATTTTCAATCAGTTTTTCAGTGATTTGCTTGTAACATTCCATCTAACTTCGCTTAAGTAGGTATTAAAAACAATAATTATAATAATCAGGTTGACCAGACCACAAGCGCAATGTTGACAATTATTTCACACTTTACTGCTACGTTTTACTGCACTTTACTGCTAATTTATACTCGTATATTAACATTGTAGATGAAATACTAGCTAATGATATAATTTTATCAACGTTGATTGTTATACTTATTTTTATAGCAACTTTAGATAAAAATTCATGTTTTTCCATCCGACATGGGAACCAGTTAAATATTGTTTTTTCCGTGTAGGTGTTGTAACATTTAATTCATGTATTACAAAAAAAAAGATATTACTGTTAGATTTGATGTTTTTTCTCAACTATTAATCTGTTTCCCAGCAATTTGCTTGTTTAATAACATACAATTTATTTGATGCAGAAATTTGAACCGCTGGTTTAATCAGTTCAGATTCTTTTATAAAAATAAATTCATCAGACAGTGTTACTGCATTAATAAATTGAGTACTGAATGCATAGTTTACATGTCTCAATCGCCGAATGAAAATTCCACCAGTCGTTTCATTGTTGTGGGAAAAAGTAATTATTGAAACTATAGAACCAAATATTCCATTACCACCGTAAACCGTAGAATTACAAAATTTACAATTCTTTTCATTTATACACTCATATGTTGTTCCATTCAATGTCATTTTATTAAAACATTTTATGTTTAAAGGCGTATATCCAATATTCATCAAAGCTACGCGCTCGTTTTCCGTTGGTAAACGGGTAACTGACTTTCCTAAGCCTATCACACGATTTTTCACACGGACACGATCAACATCCATAGACATTTTTAAAATTTTACTAATGAACTTCCTTCTTTCTTGCGAAACAGTTTCATCATACATCGAGGTTATTATAAATTTGTGCATGAGAAAACGCGTTGCCACCTGGTTAGTTCGAGCATGAGGGCTACTTATCAAATCCATAATCCGCTTATTCCACGATTCGAAAATAAACGCCTCATGCACCCATATTGGGCCCCAATTCCGTACAGTTTCTACAAGATGCGTTAATAAATGAATGTTGGAAGTCATATTTTTCAAACCAAAATATTTCTGAAAAAGTCTGACATATTTCTTCAATAACATCTCACTACGATCTAAATCTGCTTGTGTTATACAATCACTATTTAAGTAATGGATTGCTTCCGATAAATATGCTAGGTGACGGACATATTTGATTGGTAATACGTCCTTTAAGCAAATTGGAGCGTAGTCGAGCCAATTTCGCCATTCCGATGCTTTCCATTTCAAATATGTACTTATAGACCTTGGTTTCCGGGAGCGACATGATGGAGGCCTGATTTTCAACAAGTATTCATCTATTGACTTCTGATGAACAGGACTTCCAACATAATAAGGTGATTGAGTTTCTTTCAATATTATTTTTGTGTACTGTTTAATTGCTCCAATGAACACAGCATGCATCGCATCAACAACAACACCTTTACTTATGTTAAATAATGGCAACGCTGTTAATGACGATACATTTTTTACTCCATGTACTATTTTTCTTGTATCGAAAGCTTGCATCATATCTTGCCTTAACTCTGCATCCGTTCGTAGTCTTTTGTAACACTGTGCAAGAGGATAAACGAACCTACCAGGACCTAAACTTCTACCCTTCGCATAACAGTATAGACATCCAAATTTTCCATTAAACTGCTTCATACAAACTACTGCTGCTCGAGCTGGTGAATCTAAAGTACACGTTGTAACAATAAATCTTGATGTAATTTCGTGAGAATTTGGAGGATTCCACTTGATACCTTCAGTGAAAAGAAGTTGCATTTCACTAGTGAATGGTCTAAAATAGTTATTCATGATTGGATGTTCTCCATCAATGAATATCGCCGCGAGCAGCATGTGTTTCTTGCGTAAATGTGGTGGTAGTTCGTTTATCTCGGCATAAACCGGCCATGCACTGGAATTTGATGATTTGGACACGTTACATCCATCGGTATTGATCGTAAACGAAAAATTATACCATTTTTCTAACAATTTTCCCGGAGCACTTAAAGCCTTATATTCGTCACCATCATAAATGTCTTCATAACCATTAGGGTCATTTTTTGTTCGCCAAAATCGATATCTTAATGATTCACTAATATCAGGCAACGATAACAGTTCTTTAATTTGTGCAGTCAGATTAATATATATAAAATAATTTAAATCAGATTCTAATTCGTCATCGGGACCACAAGTACCACACTTGCATTCTTTTTGCAGTTTATTTGTCGCTAAATTTTTTAAACCTAAATAATCCCGGCATTTTTGGCAATAATAATGATATTCTAGCAAATTGTCATGACGGTCAAGACATTTCCAAAGTTGTTCTTTAGTCGTTGGTATTGAATTGTGATGATATACCGATTTTAACAATTTTAAATGATCCATTGTAGACTCATACGTCCATCGGTGTCGTACTGACAAAGCAATAGCAGAAAGTATGTGATCTTTTGCAGTGACATCACGTTTAGCTATCAAGGGAACATGTGCATCTGGCATGTTTTTAAAACGAAAATATGGACGATAACAATTCTCATTTTCATCATCATCATCATCATCATCATCATCATCATCATCATCATCATCATCATCATCATCATCATCATCATCATCATCATCATCATCATCATCATCATCATCATCATCATCATCATCATCATCATCATCATCATCATCATCATCATCATCATCATCATCATCATCATCATCATCATCATCATCATCATCATCATCATCATCATCATCATCATCATCATCATCATCATCATCATCATCATCATCATCATCATCATCATCATCATCATCATCATCATCATCATCATCATCATCATCATCATCATCGTCGTCATCATGATCTGCATAATCTTGTTCTTCACTATTAATGATAACGTTAACATCTTCGGCGATCCCAGAAATATCCTCGATATCTATTCCAGCTGCAGCATTTTCCTCTTCTCGATCAACATCAACAATAATATCATTATTATCATTGATAGAACCGTCTATAACCATACGATCGTTTTCAGTTAGGCCAGTATTCTGAAATCATAAAATGATTATTAGTTGCTACTCAAAGATAAGGATTTTTTGTGATATTTTTAGCATGTAAAATATAGCTATATATTTATGTGGGTTTACAAAATAATCTATTAATACATAAAATCGTTAACAGTTAACAAATATTTATTATTAACAGTTAATAAGTAATTTTTTAAGTACAATTCATAAACTGTTAAATAAATATTTGTTAATGGTGAATGAATATTTGTTAACTGTTAACAAATATTTATTTAAAACCAAAAGCAATTTACTTTTGACATTTTTTATGATCCTATAGCTAGAACACATGATAACAATTCAATTCACTACATAAATTAAGGTAGTACTACCGTTACCACAAGAATCAAATCCCCAGATCTATCCTTATTTGATTAACGTAGTAGATTTCCCTATTTTAAATCGCGTTGGAGAAAGAGAGACAGAAATAAATTTTGAATGTTTTTTATTAACAAATAGTCTTTGAAACCATACCGATTGTTATTAAATATATTTTAGATGATATTTTTTTTCATTTCTTTTATTTTTATACAGTCTAGTCAACAAGTTCAAAAACGTGAAAAATAGAGATAAAGGTCCTAAAAATATGAGCGATGGCTCTTTCGATTCGTAATCACCTCTAGAAAAATGTTTTTGAAGGATTTTGGTGCAGGTTAAAAATTGCAATTGTTATTAACAAAATAAGATAAAAAAAAATTGATGTTTCGTTTTTTGTTAATAACTCGAAAAATATTAACATTTAAGAAATTTTGAAAAAAGCTCGTTAAAGAGGAGGAAATTTCCAATAAAAAAGTCCTAACTCCCGGAATTCTATCTCCATTATTTATAATTTTAATTAGACGTTGAAAATAGGGCTCCGCGCGGCAGTTACGGCATGCGCGCACCGCCGCTAAAGAGAGTTCAGCAGTAAAAATAATTTTTTTATAACATAAAAATGTCTATTGATACAACACATAGGCTGGCCAACAAATCACCAACGACGTCGGCGACAACCACCCAAACATTTCCCTGGATGACCACAAAACCACAGCCACTTTTGGTCACTCCTGAGAAACCACCAAGGCAAGAAAAGGACAACAGGAAGAGGCAGCTGTATACGCCCAGCCCTTCCTCAGCAATTGAAAAGCCAGCACAGAAAAATTTCACAGAAAGTTTCCCGCGGTCTGGAAGCGGCAGAGATTGGTTCTCTTAGACAAAGGTAAAGGAACCCCCGAAACACCTTCGTCGTTTAGACCACTCTGTATGCTGGACATTGCTGGAAAACTGCTCGAGAAGCTCATCAAGAGAGATTTCACAACGACATCGACCGTGCTGGAGGCTTTGTCACCAACCAATATGGCTTCCGGAAAGGTCGTTTGACAGTCGGAGCGATCGAGAAAGTCATAAAGACAGCAACACAAGCATTGTCTGGTAGCCTCAAAGCTGGTAAAGTATGTCTTCTCCTCACGCTAGACGTCAGAAACGCCTTCAACAGCGCAAACTGGGGAGATATTTGAGACGCTTTGGAACATAAGAATGACGCGGAGCCAGAGAATCTGGCACTAGTCGACAACTAGCTTGACGAAAGAAAGCTAATAGCAGAAACTACTGAAGGCGCACAAAAATACGCTATAACGGCTGGTGTGCCGCAAGGCTCAATAATCGGACCCGATCTATGAATGCGGACTATGACGAGTTTCTTGAAATCCCGTTGCCAGAGCAAGTAGAACTAACGGGCTTTGCAGACGACGTTGTGGCCACGATAATAGTAGACAGCGTAGAAAAAGTCGAGCTACTAGATCGGGAAATCATTGACGCCGTCGAGACTTGGCTTGATACACACCACCTGAAACTCACCAAACAGAAAACCGAGATGGTCGTTTTCACACGTCAAAAATGGTTTCCAAAATCATACGCTGTGGACATGGGAGGAACAACACTGACGTCAACAAGGGCCCTGCGCTATCTAGGGGTAATGATAGACGAGAAACTATCTTTCCGCGAACACCTCGACAGGCATGCAAGAAAGCCACAAAGAAAAAAAGATTTCTCGACTAGAGAGTAAAATTCTTGGCTCAAATAAATTTTCGGGTGCCCGAAGGAAGACCGAAGTTGTCTTGGCCGAAGTAAAAATTTTTCTTGAAATTCTTTTCTTGGTGGAAGTAATTTTTCTTAATTCAAATTATCATAAATACTTGATACAATAAATTTTTGTATTGGATCAAGATTTTTAGATACTTTAGGGAAGCAGCGCCACCTACTTCATCTGAGAAAAAAATTTTCTCACTTTGAGAAAATTTTTCTCTTAAATATTTGATACCCATTATAGATTATTTTAGCACGCAATTATACATATTGAATGAAAGAAAATGATTGAATATTATTTGATCTTCCCATTTGACATGTTCATCAATAAAAATATTAATGAAAATTTATTATCGAGATATTCAATTTTTCAGACAGATAAATTCTACATCGTAAAGTTAGTTCTAGGTGGTATGAAAATTGATAACTATGTTCAAGTTGTATATTCTAGTATTTTTATATTTAAAACACGTGTTTCGTAACAGTACAATTAAACAGCGTGAATAAATAAATATTATTTTGGTATTTTTGGACTTTATTTTTAATAATTAAATTAGAACAAAAAAATATTTTTTAAAAATTGCACTTACAGTTTTTGAAGTTTTTT